GTCCCGATTTGGGGTGAAATGTCCAGGTTTGGGGATGGAATGGCTGTTTTTGGAAGGCTATGTCCAGATTTGGGTGAAATGACCGGATTTCAGGGGTTATGTCCAAAACTGGGGTGGAATGTCCAGATTTGGGGTGGAATGTCCAGATTTGGGGTGAAATGTCCAGATATAGGGGTGGAATATCCAGATTTGGTGGTGGAAACGTGCAGATTTGGGGTGTTATGTCCAGATTTGAAGTGAAATGTGGAGATTTGGAGTGAAATGTCCAGATTTGGGGTGAAATGTCTGGATTTGGGGGGTTATGTCAAGATTTGAGGTGAAATGTCCAGATTTGGGGGTGGAATATCCAGATTTGGGGGGCTATGTCCAGATTTGGGTGAAATGTCCCGATTTCGGGGGTTATGTCCAAAACTGGGGTGAAACGTCCTGATTTGGAGTGAAATGTCCAGATTTGGGGTGAAATGTCCAGATATAGGGATGGAATATCCAGATTTGGTGGTGGAAACATGCAGATTTGGGGCGTTATGTCCAGATTTGAAGTGAAATGTGCAGATTTGGGGTGAAATGTGCAGATTTGGGTGCAATGCCCAGATTTGAAGTGAAAAGTCCAGATTTGGATTGAAATGTGCAGATTTGGGGTGGAATTTCCAGATTTGGGGTGGAATGTGGAGATTTGGGGTAGAATGTGGAGATTTGGGGTGGAAGGTGCAGATTTGGGGTGAAAGGTGCAGATTTGAGGTGAAACATCCCGATTTGGGGTGAAATGTCCCGATTTGAAGTGAAGTGTCCAGATTTGGGGTGAAATGTCCCGATTTGGAATGGAAGGTGCAGATTTGGGGTGGAAGGTCCCGATTTGGGGTGAAATGTCCCTATTTGAAGTGTTCCGATTTGGGGTGGAAGGTGCAGATTTGGGGTGAAATGTGGAGATTTGGGGTGAAATGTGGAGATTTGGGGTGAAATGTCCCGATTTGGAGTGAAATGTCCAGATTTGGGGTGAAATGTTCCGATTTGGGGTGAAATGTTCCGATTTGGGGTGAAATGTTCCGATTTGGGGTGAAATGTCCCGATTTGGAGTGAAATGTTCCGATTTGGGGTGGAAGGTGCAGATTTGGGGTGAAATGTCCCGATTTGGGGTGAAATGTCCCGATTTGGGGTGAAATGTCCCGATTTGGAGTGGAAGGTGCAGATTTGGGATGGAAGGTCCCGATTTGAAGTGAAATGTTCCGATTTGGGGTGGAAGGTGCAGATTTGGGGTGAAGTGTCCAGATTTGGGGTGAAATGTTCCGATTTGGGGTGGAAGGTGCAGATTTGGCGTGGAAGGTGCAGATTTGGGGTGAAATGTCCCGATTTGGGGTGAAATGTCCCGATTTGGGGTGAAATGTCCCGATTTGGGGTGAAATGTTCCGATTTGGGGTGAAATGTCCAGATTTGGGGTGAAGCGTCCATATTTGGGGTGGAAGGTGCAGGTTTGGGGTGAAACATCCCGATCTGGGGCTCGGGGTCCGTGTGTGTGTGTGGGCAGTGCTCACCCCGGCGCTCACAGCGCTCCGTGCGCTCACTCCCATGCCCGGTGCCGGCCGGACCGGGCCCCGCTCCCTCCCCACCCCCCCTCCGCGCAGGCCCCGCCCGCGCTCCCCCGGGTGCGGGGCAGGAGCTGGGGTGGAAAAAGTGAGCGGCGGCGTCCGGCGGGGGGGGGGAAACGGAGTGGGGGGGTGTCCGGTGAGGGAGCTTCCGGTAACGGGAGCTGGGAGTGGGGACAGTGAGGGAGAGAGGGAGAGAGACTGTGACTGTGCGTGAGTGTGAGTGTGTGTGTGTGACTGTGTGTGAGTGTGAGTGTGTGACTGTGACTCTGTGTGTGCGTGAGTGTGTATGTGAGTGTGTGTGTGACTGTGAGTGTGTGTGTGTGACCATGACTCTGTGTGTGCGTGTGTATGTGAGTGTGTGTGACTGTGTGTGTGTGTGTGTGACTGTGAGTGTGTGTGTGTGTGTGTGACTGTGACTCTGTGCGTGTGTGAGTGTGTATGTGAGTGTGTGTGTGACTGTGTGTGAGTGTGACTGTGTGTGTGTGTGTGTGTGTGACTGTGTGTGTGAGTGTGCGTGACTGTGTGTGTGTGTGTCTGTGTGTGTGTGTGCGTGACTGTGCGCGTGAGTGTGACTGTGACTGTGTGTGTGAGAGTGTGCGTGACTGTGTGCATGACTGTGAGTGTGTGTATGTGAGTGTGTGACTGTGAGTGTGACTGTGTGTGACTGTGTGTGCATGAGTGTGAGTGTGTGTGTGAGTGTGACTGTGAGTGTGTGTGTGACTGTGACTCTGTGTGTGTGTGTGCATGAGTGTGAGTGTGTGAGTGTGTGCATGACTGTGTGTGTGTGACTGTGAGTGACTCTATGTGTCTGTATGTGTGTGAGTGTATGAGTGTGACTGAGTGTGTGTGACTGTGTCTGAGAGTGTGAGTTTGAGTGTGTGTGACTGTGACTGAGTGTGAGTGTATAAGTGTGGTTGAGTGTGAGAGTGATTGAGTGTGTGTGTGTGTCACTGACTGAGAGTGTGTGTGTGTGACTGTGACTGACTGTGACTGTGTGTGTGTGTGACTGACTCTGTGAGTGTCCGTGTGTGTCTCTGTGTTTCTGTGTGTGTGCTTGTCCGTTTGGGCTGAGCACAGACACGCTCTGTGCATGGGTGGGGGAACAATGGCTGCGCACCCACACACTCAGTGCACGTGTCTGGGTTGGTGGCTGAGCACAGCCGCTCTCATCGCACACGTGTGGGGCAGCAGCAGAGGACCCACATGCGCGGTACATGCATGGGGGGCAGAGCACAGGCACACTCAGCACATGTGCGGGTGGGTGATGGCTGAGCACCCACACGCTTGGTACAGGTGTGGGGTCCATGGCTCAGCACCCATGGTGCAGGGATGGGGGGGTGATGGCAGAGCACCCACACACTCAGTGCATGCGTGGGCTCCTCTGTGCCTCAGTTTCCCCCTTTGCCCCCCCCAAGCATCCAGGGCTGGGCTGGGACCCCCTTGGGGTGCGGGTTCCTCTCATGTCCCCCCTTTCGCCCCCCCCATCCCCGGTCCATCCCCCCCCCCCGGCTGCATTAATCCCCCGGCACTTGTTTGCTCAGAAAGTGCTGCCCAGACGGATTCCTGACCGCGGCACGGGGGCACCGGCTGGGGCTGCACACGCGTGTGCGCAGGCGTGGGGCGATGGGTGATGCACACGGTGTGGGGCGATGGGTGATGCACACGCGTGTGCGCAGGCGTGGGGCGATGGGTGATGCACACGGTGTGGGGCGACGGGTGATGCACACGCGTGTGCGCAGGCGTGGGGCGATGGGTGATGAACACACGTGTGCGCAGGTGTAAGGTGATGGGTGATGCACATGTGTGTGCGCGGGTGTGGGGTGAAGCATGATGCACACGCGTGTGCGCAGGCGTGGGGCAATGGGTGATGCACACGTGTGTGTGCAGGCATGGGGCGATGAATGATGCACACACGTGTGCGCAGGTGTGGGGTGATGGGTGATGCACACGTGTGTGCACAGTCATGTCAGTGTGCACACATTTGGTGGTGCAAGAATATGTGTGCAGTCATGGTATGCACACACATGTCTGGTGGTGCAAACATACGTGTGCACATGGAGTCCCACATGGGTGCACACGTGTAGCAGTGTGAATGCGTGTGCACAAGCACATCTGCATGCACACACATCCCTGTGGCACTGCATGCACATAGTGCAAACACATGTGCATAGCATGTGTCAGTGTGCACACATCCCTGTGTCACACATGTAGGAAGCGGTACATGTGCATAATGTGTCAGTGTGCATATACGTCCCCGTGTCACTACATGTGGATAGTGGTGCATGTGCATAGCATGTGTCAGTGTGCACCCCATGTGTGTGCACACGCGTGTGCCGGTGCCATGCATGGGCACCCACCGGTGCTGTTCCGTGTCCCCAGGGCAGCCAGGGCCTGGCCGAGAGCTCCTTCCCCGAGGACACGGTGTCCGACCACGTCGGGGGTGCGCGGGGACACCGCTTCTACCGGCACCTCTCCGATGATGAGGACCTGGTGGCATCCGGCGGTAAGGGGGCAATGGATGGGGGTCACTGTGGATGGGTGTCACTGTGGGTGGGTGTCACTGTGGGTGGGGGTCAGTGTGGGTGGGTGTCTCTATGGATGGGTGTCTCTATGGATGGGTGTCACTGTGGATGGGTGTCACTGTGGGTGGGTGTCACTGTGGGTGGGTGTCGCTGTGGATGGGTGTGTCTATGGATGGGTGTCACTGTGGATGGGTGTCACTATGGGTGGGTGTCTCTATGGATGGGTGTCACTGTGGATGGGTGTCACTGTGGGTGGGTGTCACTGTGGATGGGTGTCTCTATGGATGGGTGTCACTGTGGATGGGTGTCGCTGTGGATGGGTGTCTCTATGGATGGGTGTCGCTGTGGATGTGTGTCTCTATGGATGGGTGTCACTGTGCTTGGGTGTCACTGTGGATGGGTGCCACTGTGGATGGTTGTCTCTATGGATGGGTGTCTCTATGGATGGGTGTCGCTGTGGATGGGTGTCACTGTGGATGGGTGTCACTGTGGATGGGTGTCTCTGTGGATGGGTGTCACTGTGGATGGGTGCCACTGTGGATGGGTGTCTCTATGGATGGGTGTCTCTATGGATGGGTGTCACTGTGGATGGGTGTCTCTATGGATGGGTGTCACTGTGGATGGGTGTCCCTGTGGATGGGTGTCTATGGATGGTTCATTGTCACCATGGGTGGACGCACTGGGGGTGGGCGCCACTCACCGTCCCCATGCAGATGGCACCAGGACCTTGGTGGCCTCTTGTGGCAATGGGTGGGTGGCTGTCACCATGACTCAGTGCCAGGTGTCACCGTGTCTGGGTGTCACCCTGGTGCACCCCTTGCTGTCCCCATTGCAGATGGCAGCGGGGAGGACGGCAGCGGCGCCCCATGGCCGAGCGCTACCCACGTGCCCAGCGTGGGGCTGGCACCCACCGGTAAGGGGGCACCGAGGGGTGGCTCCTGTCCCCCGCCTGTCACCGCCTGTCACCGCGCTCAAGCTCTGTCTCCTCCATCCTCCTCTTCCTCTTCTTCTTCTTCCTCTTCCTCCTCCTCCTCCTCGGGCAGCGCCCGGGCCCCCCCCCGTGCCCGCGGGGATGGTGGTGGCAGAGGACGAGCCCCCATTGAGTAAGTGACACCTTGGGGGACCCCCCTCCTGCACCCCCAAGTGTATCCCCAGTGTTCTATGGGGGGTGTGTGTGTGAATATGGGGTCACAGCTGGGTATGGGGGTTGCAAATGCATATGGGAAGGTCATAGATGAGTATGGGGGGGTCAGAGCTGGATATGGGGGGGTCGCAGTCTGGATATGGGGGCTCACAGCTGGATATGGGGGGTCACAGTCTGGATATGGGGATTACAGCCAGATATGAAGATTACAGCTGGATATTTGGGGGTCACAGCTGGATATTGGGGGTCACAGCTGGATATGGGGGGGTCAGAGTCTGGATATGGGGGGGTCACAGTCTGGATATGGGGATTACAGCTGGATATGGGGATTATAGCTTGATATGGGGGGGGTCACAACTGGATATGGGGATTACAGCTGGATATTGGGGGTCACAGCTGGATATGGGGGGTCACAGTCTGGATATGGGGATTACAGTTGGATATGGGGGTCACAGCTGGATATTGGGGGTCACAGCTGGATATGGGGGTCACAGCTGGATATGGGGTGTCAGATTCTGGATGGGGCTGTCACAGTCTGGATATGGGGATTACAGTTGGATATGGGGGTCACAGCTGGATGATGTGGGGGTCACAGCTGGATATGGGGGGTCACAGTCTGGATATGGGGATTACAGTTGGATATGGGGGTCACAGCTGGATATTGGGGGTCACAGCTGGATATTGGGGGTCACAGCTGGATATGGGGGTGTCAGAGTCTGGATATGGGGGGGTCACAGTCTGGATATGGGGATTACAGCTGGATATGGGGATTACAGCTTGATATGGGGGGGTCACAACTGGATATGTGGATTACAGCTGGATATGGGGGTCACAGCTGGATATTGGGGGTCACAGCTGGATATGGGGGTCAGAGCTGGATATGAGGATTACAGCCGGATATGGGGGTCACAGCTGGAAAGGGTGACAGGGGGGTATTCTTTGGGGTGCAGGGGCCTGTTTCTGACCCCCCTCTCCCCCCAGTTTACTTCCGGGCGCTGGTGAACTTCACCCGCAGCATCGACTACAGCCGGCGCCTGGAGGACCCCGACTCCGAGGAGTTCCGGGAGATCTCGGAGGCCGTGGTGGATGCGGTCAGTGCGGGGGTGCTGGGGGGTGGGGGGCATCCATAGGAGCACTCATAGGAGCACCCATAGGAGCACCCACAGGGGCACCCATAGGAGCACCCATAGGAGCACCCATAGAAGCACCCATAGGAGCACCCATAGGGGCACTCATCGGAGCATCCATAGGGGCACTCACAGGGGCACTCCTAGAGGCACCCATAGGAATCATCCATAGGAGCATCCATAGGAGCGCCCATAGGGGCACCCATAGGAGCACTTATAAGAGCACTCATAGGGGCACCCATAGGAGCATCCATATTGGCACCCATAGGGTCACCCATAGGGCACCCATAGGAGCACCCAGAGGAGCACCCATAGGGCACCCATAGGGGCACCCATAGGAGCATCCATAGGAGCACCCATAGGAGCACCCATAGGGGCACCCATAGGGGCACCCGTAGGAGCACCCATAGGGCACTCATAGGGCACCCCTAGAGGCACCCATAGGAATCATCCATAGGAGCGCCCATAGGGGCACCCATAGGAGCACTTATAAGAGCACTCATAGGGGCACCCGTAGGGGCACACATAGAAGCACCCATAGGGGCACCCATAGGCACACCCATAGGAGCACCCATAGGGGCACCCATAGCAGCATCCATAGGAGGACCCAGAGGAACACCCATAGGGGCACCCATAGGAGCACCCATAGGGGCACTCATAGGGGCACCTATAGGAGCACCCATAGCAGCATCCATAGCAGCATCCATAGGAGCACCCATAGGAGCACCCATAGGAGCACCCTGACCCCCTCTTTGTTCTGCCCCCCCTCAGCTGGAGTCCGAGTATTACAAGGTGCCTGGGGAGCAAATGGTCAGCGTGGTCTTCATCAAGTGAGATGGGGGGGGGCACAGAGGGGATTGGGGGAGGTTTGGGGGTGCAGGAGAGATTTGGGGTGTGGGGGTAATGGGGAGGATTGGGGGGGTTTTGGGGTGTGGGGGGGGTTTGGACTGGGGAGTCTGGGGTTGAAGGGGGATGGAGAGGTTTGGGGTGCAGGGGGTATTATGGGGATGGGGAGGTTTAGAAGGTTTTGGGGTATGGGGGGGTTGAGCTGTTGAGTTTGGGGGTGTAGGAAGATGGGGGGGCCACAGAGGCTTTGGGGGGGTTGTGTTGCCGGGGGGGGTGATGGGGATGCTTTGGGGGCGCAGGGGATGTTTGTTGGGGTTTATGGGTTCAGGGCCAGTTTTGGGGTGCTGACCCCCCCTTTTGCCCCCCCCAAGGGAGCTGGAGGGTGACGTGTTCGTGGAGCTGGACGTGGGCTCGGAGGGCAACGGGGACGAGCGGCAGCTTGGGGGGGTCCTGCGGGACCTCCTGGCTGGGGGCTCCATTGCCTCCTATGCAACCTCCCCGCATGGCTTCCAGTTCCGGCGCCTGGGGGCCGGTCAGTGCCCCCCCCATAGCAACCCATCCCCATGTACCGGTGTGCCTCCACCCTCCCCATCACCGGTGCGGGCTGTTGGGGTTCACACTGACCGGGGGTGTTTGTGTCCCCCCCCCCCATTCCGGCAGTGACCCCGCACCCGCGGCCCTGCACTGCCACCGAGTTCACGTGCGGCAGCGGTGACTGCGTCCCCAGTGAGTACCGGTGCGACCGCCGGCACGACTGCCGCGATGGCTCCGATGAGCTCGGCTGCGGTGAGACCCCCATAGCCCCCCATTGGACACCCATGTCCCCCTATAACCCCCCTTATCACCCTCCCTAAACCCCATAACCTGCCCCCCTACCCAGTGCATCCTTATTGCCCATTATAAGCCCCTCAGCACCCCCATATCCCACAGAACCCGCCCATTTCTCCTCCTGCAATCTGATTTTCCCCTATTCCACATAACCCTTTGCACTGCACCCCCATTTACCCCTGTAACCCCCCATAATACACCCTAAATCCTCCTCACCTCTGTTTCCCCCATACCCCCCCCAGTGCATTCCATTTCCCCTCTATACCCCCACAACCCTTCATTTCCCCCATACTCCCCCATTGCCCCCTATTTCCCCCATAACCCCCCCAGTGCATCCCATTTCCCCCCTATACTCCCACAACCCTTCATGTCCCCCATTGCCCCCTATTTCCCCCATAATCCCCCCCAGTGCATCCCATTTCCCCCTATTTCCCAGAACCCTTCATTTCCCCCATACTCCCCCATTGCTCCCTTTTCCCCCCATAACCCTCCCCAACGCATCCCATTTCCCCTCTATACCCCCAACCCTTCCTTTCCCCCATACTCCCCCATTGCCCCCTATTTCCCCCCATAACCCCCCAGTGCATCCCATTTCCCCTCTATACCCCCACAACCCTTCATGTCCCCCATACTCCCCATTGCCCCCTATTCCCCCCCATACCCTCCTGTACCCCTTCACCCCATAACCCCCATCCCCACAGACCCCTCCACACGGGTACCCCCCACCACCTCCCGCCCGGCTACCACCACGCGCCCATTGAGCACCACCATGGCTGCCATCACCCCCCCACCGCGGCGCCCCGGCACCCCCCGGCCCCACAAGCACCCGGTCGATGGGTGCCGGGTGGGAGAAGCCGCCTGTGCCGATGGGCGCTGCATCCCCCGGGACTACATCTGCGATGGAGAGGCCGACTGCGCCGACGGCAGCGATGAGGAGGCTTGCGGTGAGTCCATGGCATCGCCATAGGGAGGGTGTAGGGGGGCACCCATGGGTGCTGACCCCGTCCCCCGTCCCCCAGGCACCCCGTCACCGTGCGAACCCAACGAGTTCAAGTGCCGCAACGGGCACTGCGCGCTCAAGCTTTGGCGATGCGACGGCGAGAACGACTGCGGGGATGGCTCCGATGAGGCCGATTGCCGTGAGTGTGGTTGGGATGGGGACACGGGGTGCAGGCGGTTGTGGTTGATTCGTGTCACCGTCACCCCTGCAGCCACCAAGGCGCCCGGCGCGGCGTGCGGCCCGGCGGAGTTCCGGTGCGTGGCCAGCGGGACCTGCATCCGCGCCAGTTACCAGTGCGACCGCGAGCCCGACTGCCCCGACCGCTCTGATGAGGTTGGCTGCGGTGAGTGGCACCGGAGGGGATGCTGTGGCTGCAGGGATGGTGTGATGGGATGTGGTGTGGTGGTACTGGGATGGGGGCTCTGTGGCAAGGGACTGGGATGGGGGCATTGTGCCTGGGGACCCCGTGGCATCGCACTGGGGGCACTACAGGCAGAGAACCCCTCTGCCGGTGACCCTGTGCCATGGCACTGGGATGGGGACACTGTGGGGACCCTGTGCCATGGGATGTTGTGCCCATGGGGTCTGTGCCATGGCACTGAGATAGGGACACTGTGGGGACCCTGTGCCATGGCACTGGGATAGGGACACTGTGGGGACCCTGTGCCATTGGATGTTGTGCCCATGGAGTCTGTGCCATGGCACTGGGATAGGGACACTGTGGGGACCCTGTGCCATGGCACTGGGATGGGGACACTGTGGGGACCCTGTGCCATGGGATGTTGTGCCCATGGAGTCTGTGCCATGGCACTGGGATGTGGACATTGTGGGGACCCTGTGCCATGGCACTGGGATGGGGACATTGTGGGGACTCTGTGCCATTGGATGTTGTGCCCATGGGTCTGTGCCATGGCACTGGGATAGGGACATTGTGGGGACCCTGTGCCATGGCACTGGGATGGGGACACTGTGGGGACCCTGTGCCATGGGATGTTGTGCCCATGGAGTCTGTGCCATGGCACTGGGATGGGGACATTGTGGGGACCCTGTGCCATGGCACTGGGATGGGGACACTGTGGGGACCCTGTGCCATGGCACTGGGATGGGGACACTGTGGGGACCCTGTGCCATGGGATGTTGTGCCCATGGAGTCTGTGCCATGGCACTGGGATGGGGACATTGTGGGGACTCTGTGCCATGGCACTGGGATGGGGACACTGTGGGGACCCTGTGCCATGGCACTGGGATGGGGACACTGTGGGGACCCTGTGCCATGGCACTGGGATGGGGACACTGTGGGGACCCTGTGCCATGGGATGTTGTGCCCATGGGGTCTGTGCCATAGCAAAGGGCTGGGGATGCTGTGCCCAAGCTGTGCAGAGATGTGGTGTGGTGGCACTGGGATGGGGACTCTGTGCCAAGGGACTGGGATGGGGACATTGTGCCTGGGGACCCCGTGGCATGGCACTGGGGGCACTACAGGCAGAGACCCCCTGTGCTGGTGACCCTGTGCCATGGCACTGGGATGGGGACACTGTGGGGACCCTGTGCCATGGGATGTTGTGCCCATGGGTCTGTGCCATAGCAAAGGGCTGGGGATGCTGTGCCCAAGCTGTGCGGGGATGTGGTGTGGTGGCACTGGGATGGGGACTCTGTGGCAAGGGACTGGGATGGGGACATTGTGCCTGGGGACCCCATGGCATGGCACTGGGATGAGGGCATTGCACTCAGAGAGCCTGTACCATGGGGCCATGTACACCAGTGGTGATGGTGGTGTGGGCAGGGCTGTGTTCCGGTGCAGGGTTGTGATGGGTGTTGCAGGTTGTGATGGGTGTTGCTTGCAGGGCCATATCCCCATGCAGGGTGGTGACGGTGTTGTGGGTTGTGACAGGTGTTGCAGGTTGCTATGGGTGTTGCAGGCCGTGCCATGTCCCAGTGCAGAGTTGTGATGGGTGTTATGGGTTGTGACGGTGTTATGGGTTGTGATGGGTGTTGTGGGTTGTGATGATATTGTGGGTCATGATGGGTGTTGCGGGCAGGGCCGTGTCCCAGTGCAGGGTGGTGATGGGTGTTGCAGATTGTGATGGGTGTTGTGGGTAGGGCGCTGTACTGGTGCAGGGTGGTGACGGGTGTTGCAGGTTGCTATGGGTGTTGCAGGCCGTGCCATGCCCCAGTGCAGGGTTGTGATGGGTGTTGTGGGCAAGGCTGTGTCCCAGTGCAGGGTGGTGACGGTGTTGCGGGTGGTGATGGGTGTTGCAGGTTGCTATGGGTGTTGCAGGCAGTGCCATGTCCCAGTGCAGAGTTGTGATGGGTGTTATGGGTTGTGATGGGTGTTGCGGGTGGTGACGGTGTTGCAGGTTGCTATGGGTATTGCAGGCAGTGCCATGTCCCAGTGCAGGGTTGTGATGGGTGTTATGGGTTGTGATGGGTGTTGCGGGTGGTGACGGTGTTGCGGGTGGTGACGGGTGTCGCGGGCAGTGCCCCCTCAGGTGGTGTCGTTGCCGCGGGACGCGGTGCGGGCCGTGCCGGGTCAGACTGTCACCTTCACGTGCGCGGCCACCGGTGTCCCTACACCCATCGTCACCTGGCGCCTCAACTGGGGGCACCCCCCCAGCAGCCACAGGTGGGCGGGGCCTAAGGGCTGGTGGGAGGGGCGATGGAGGGGTTTATCAATGGGGGCTTATCCATGGGGAGGAGGCGTGGCCTGAGGAAGGGCGGGGCTTGTGGGTATGGGGGCTGAGGGGGGGAGCGGGGCTTGGGGCGAGGCTTGTGGTTGTGGGAGGGGCTTTATAGGGGCGTGGTCTGAGGTAATGGGGGAGTATGGCTGTGTATCAGAAAGGGGCGGGGCTTAGAGGCAGCGGGGCTGCGCGTGGGCGTGGTTTATGCTTAGGGGCGGGGCTTGGGTGTGAGCAGGGCTGTGCTGGGTTGCATTGGGTGTACTGGCGTGCCTGTGTGCTGGGTGTACTGGGTATACCGGTGTGCCAGTGTGTTGGGTGTACCAGGTATACTGCTGTGCCTGTGTGCTCCAGTGTACTGGGTGTACTGGTGTGCCCATGTGCTGGCTGTACTGGGTATACCGGTGTGCCTGTGTGCTCCGGTGTACCGGTTGTACCGGTGTGCCCGTGCGCTGGGTGTGCTGGGTGTACTGGTGTGTCTGTGTACTGTGTGTGCTGGGTGTACTGGTGTGTCTGTGTGCTGGGCGTACTGGGTATACCAGTGTGCCTGTGTCCTCCGGTGTACCGGGTGTACCGGAGTGCCTGTGCGCTGGGTGTACTGGGTATACCGGTGTGCCTGTGTGCTGGGTGTACTGGTGTGTCTGTGTGCTGGGCGTACCGGGTATAGCAGTGTGCCTGTGTCCTCCGGTGTACTGGGTGTACCGCTGTGCCCATGCGCTGGGTGTACCGTGTGTCCCGGTGTCCTGGGCGCTTGGTGCCAGTCGTGCCATGCAGGGTGTCGATTGTGAGCGAGGCCGGCCAGGGCACATTGACCATCCGCGACGTGAAGGAATCCGACCAAGGTGCCTACACCTGCGAAGCCATCAACACCCTGGGCATGGTGTTCGGCATCCCCGACAGCATCCTCACCGTCACCCGCCCCGGTGAGCATCCCTCTTCGTGTCCCGTCCCGTCCCCTCCACCATGCTGCTGTCACCATCACCCACTGTGTCCCCCCCACTCCACAGGGCCGTGCCCCGAGGGTCACTTCGAGGTGACGGGGACCTCCCGCTGCCTGCCCTGCTTCTGTTTCGGTGTCACCACCTCCTGCCGCGCCACCGCCCGGCACCGGCACCGCCTCCACCTGCGCTTCGACCGCGCTGGAGACTTCAAGGGTGAGCGATGGGGACAAGGGACAAGGGACAAAGGGCAAGGCAGGGGCTGAGCATCTCCCCACAGGTGTCAACGTGACGGTGCCGGCAGCGCCGGCCACACCGGTGCTCTCAGCCACCCAGCTCCACGTGGATGTGGGTTCTGAGGAGTTCCAGCTCCTGGATCTGTCCCGACGCTTCCTGGCCCTCGATGCCTTCTGGGCGCTGCCGGATGCGTTCCTTGGGGACAAGGTGATGCCGGGGACGGGGATTGGTGACACCGGGATGGGTTTGGTGCGGCGGCTGCTGACTCCCTGCGGTGCTGCAGGTGGATGCCTACGGGGGAGCGCTGAGCTATGGGGTGCGGTACCGGCTGGGACGCGGCCCCCCCGAGCCCAGCACACACCCCGATGTGGTGCTGCGGGGCCACGGGCGGGAGCTGCGGGCGCGCGATGGGGACACCCAGCCTGATGTCCTCAACCGGCGGCACGTGCCCTTCACTGAGGTGGGGGGGACTGGTGATGGTGGTGGAAGGGTGGGAGCATTGTGGTTGTGATGGTGGATGGGTAATGGTGATGCTGGTGGTGATGGGAGGGTGATGGTGGTGATGGTGGTTGGGGTCAGTGATGGTGATGGGTGGTTGATGGTGGTGGTAAAGGAAGGGTGATGGGTGTTGCTGGTGGTCATGGGTGGGTGATAGTAGTGGTGGGAGGGTGATGCTGGTGATGGTGGGTGGGTGATGGTGGTGAAAGGGTGATGGTCTTTGGGTAATGCTGGTGGTGATGGGTGGGTGATGGTGATGCTGGTAATGGTGATGGTGGAAGGGTAGTGGTCTTTGGGTGATGCTGGTGGTGATGGGTGTGTGATGGTGGTGGTGGGAGCGTGGTAGCAGTGATAGTGGGTGGGTGACAATGGCGGTGATGGTTGGGATGATGTGTGGGTGATGGTGATGCTGGTAATGGTGATGGTGGAAGGGTGGTGGTCTTTGGGTGATGCTGGTGGTGATGGGTGTGTGATGGTGGTGGTGGGAGCGTGGTAGCAGTGATAGTGGGTGGGTGACAGTGGTGATGATGGTTGTGGTGATGGGTGGGTGATGGTGATACTGGTAATGGTGGTGGTGGAAGGGTGATGGGTGGGTACTGGTGGTGTCAGGTGGGTAATACCAGTGTTACCATCACCGCGGTGGTGTCACCGGTGTCACCATCCCCGCAGGACCGCTGGGAGGACGAGGAGGGCGCCCCGGTGAGCCGGGAGCTGCTGCTGCTGGTGCTGCAGGACCTGGAGGGCATCTTCATCCGCGCGGTGTACGACGGGCGCATGGCCAGCGTGGGGCTCAGCGACGTGGCCATGGACACCACCAGCACCACCAGCACCGGGCTGGGGCCAGCCGGGGACGTCGAGGAGTGCAGGTGATGCTCATGGCAAGGCGGGGACCAGGCTTGATGCCACCACCACCAACCACGATGGCGGCATCACCGCGCTGTGTGTCCACACAGGTGCCCTGTGGGCTACACGGGGCTGTCGTGCCAGCGCTGCGCCAACCGCTTCGAGCGGGTGACAAAGGGACCCTACTTGGGGACATGCTCCGGTTGCGGGTGCCACGGGCACTCCAGCACCTGCGACCCCGTGTTTGGGCACTGCCTGGTGAGGAGCGGGGTGCCGATGGCACGGGTTGGTGTCACCGCCGCCTGTATACGGTGCCATGTGTGCGTGTTTCTATGTGGGTGCATCCAGAACTGCCAGCACAACACCGAGGGGCCCCAGTGCGAGAAGTGCAAACCCGGCTTCTTCGGCGATGCCACCAAGGGCACGGCCACCGCGTGTCACCCGTGTCCTTGTCCCTACACGGAGCCGGCGCGGAGGTGGGGGACAGCAGCCCCCATGGGCACCCCAAACCCCCCTACACCCCATATATAAGATGTCACCATCCCCATCGCTGTCACCATAGGTTTTCAGAGTCGTGCTTCCTGGACACCGATGGTCAAGCCACGTGTGATGCCTGCGCACCCGGTTACGCCGGGCGCCGCTGTGAAAGGTGACACGGGTGGGGGGGTCCCTCAACACCCCCCCAACACCAAAGACCCCCCCCTAAACCAACACCCCCATCCCCATAGGTGCGCCCCGGGCTATGAGGGAGACCCCATCCAGCCGGGCGGCAAGTGCACCCCGATCGGTGAGTTGGGGGGTGAACCCCTGCCCTATGGGTGCTCCCCACCGCACCCATGGGTGCCTCCTGCCCTCATTGTCGCTGCCCCATCGCAGGTCAGGAGCTCATCAAGTGCGATGCCCGCGGGGGCAAGGATGAGGATGGTGGCACGTGTCGGTGCAAGGTGAGGGTGGGGATGGGGCTCCTGTTCCCCCCTTGTACCCAGTGGGGTCCCCAATAGCACCCAGTGGGATCCCCAACAGCACCCAGTGGGGTCCCTGATAGCACCCAGTGGGATCCCCAATAGCACCCAGTGGGATCCCCAGTAGCACCCAGTGGGGTCCCCAATAGCACCCAGTGGGATCCCCAATAGCACCCAGTGGGATCCCCAATAGCACCCAGTGGGATCCCCAATAGCACCCAGTGGGGTCCCCAATAGCACCCAGTGCGGTCCCCAATAGCACCCAGTGGGGTCCCCAATAGCACCCAGTGGGGTCCCCAATAGCACCCAGTGGCGTCCCCAATAGCACCCAGTGGGATCCCCAATAGCACCCAGTGGGATCCCCAATAGCACCCAGTGGTGTCCCCAACAGCACCCAGTGGGATCCCCAGTAGCACCCAGTGGGGTCCACAGTAGCACCCAGTGGGATCCCTGGGGTTCCCAGTCCAATCCCCTATGGCACCCAGTCTGACCCTGGCTACAGCACCCAATCTGATCCCTGGGGTACCCAGTCTGATCCCTGCAGCACCCAGTCCAACCCCTCTATAGCATCCAGTCTTGTTCTTGGGGTACCCAGTCTGATCCCCACAGCACCCACTCCAACCCCCCTATAGCACCCAATCTGATCCCTGGGGTACCCAATTCCCACAGCACCCAGTCCACCCCTATCCCATAGCCCCCAGTCCAACCCAGTCTGACCCCTGCTATGGTACCAACCCAATCTCCGCGGTTCCCAGTTCAACCCCCATAGCACCCAGTTTGACCCCATTCTCGCACCCAACCAACCTCCCCCCAGCACCAAACTGCTCCAATCCCCCGATACCCCCCCCATAACCCCTTCCCCTGTGACCCCATTGCCGCAGCCCAACGTGCGGGGCCGGCTCTGCGACTCCTGTGCCGCCGGCACGTTCCACCTGAGCGCGGCCAACGCCGAGGGCTGCCTGCCCTGCTTCTGCATGGGCGTCTCGCGGCACTGCGCCAGCTCCGCCTGGAGCCGACACCAGGTACGGCCATGGCCCAGGGCCACCACCACCCTGGTATGAACACTGTGCCGTTTAGTGCCGGGTTGTGCCGCCATACCCTGCTGGGCCGTTGCATCCCGGGTTGTGCCGTACCAAGCATCCCTTGTTGCCATGGCAACTGCTGCCATACTGTGCCGTGCCATGGCATGCAATGGTTTATGTTGTCCTTGCGGTGTTGTGCCATAGTGTTGTGTCGTGCCTTGCCATGTTGCTCCAAATCATGCCATAGAGTGGCTTGCTGTGCCGTGCTTCACTGTGTCATGCTGTGCCATGCCGTGTTGTGTTGAAATGGCATTGTCGTGCATAGCCATGCTGTGCCAGGTTGTGCTGTGCCGTGCCGTGCATTGCTGTTATGCCGTATAGAGCCATGCTGTGCAGTGCTATTCATTGCTATATAGCGCCATGCTGTGCCATGCCATTCATTGCCGTTATGCCATATAGCGCCATGCTGTGCCATGCCATGCAGTGCTGTTGTGTTATCCCATGCCGTGCCATGCAATGCATTGCCATTATGCCATATAGCGCCATGCTGTGCCATGCCATTCATTGCCGTTATGCCATATAGTGCCATGCTGTGCCATGCCATTCATTGCCATTATGCCATATAGCGCCATGCTGTGCCATGCCATGCATTGCTGTTATGTTATCCCATGCTGTGCCATGCCATGCATTGCCATTATGCCATATAGCGCCATGCTGTGCCATGCCATTCATTGCCATTATGCCACATAGCGCCATGCTGTGCCATGCCATTCATTGCCATTATGCCATATAGCGCCATGCTGTGCCATGCCATGCGGTGCTGTTGTGCTATCCCATGCCGTGCCATGCCATGCATTGCCATTATGCCATATAGTGCCATGCTGTGCCATGCCATGCATTGCCATTATGCCATATAGCGCCATGCTGTGCCATGCCATGCATTGCCATTATGCCATTGAGCGCCAGGCCGTGCCATGCCATTCAATGCCATTATGCCATATAGCACCATGCTGTGCCATGCTATTCATTGCCATTATGCCATATAGCACCATGCTGTGCCATGCCATTCAATGCCATTATGCCATATAGCACCATGCTGTGCCATGCTATTCATTGCCATTATGCCATATAGTGCCATGCTGTGCCATGCCATGCATTGCCATTATGCCATTGAGTGCCAGGCCGTGCCATGCCATTCATTGCCATTATGCCATATAGCACCATGTTGTGCCATGCTATTCATTGCCATTATGCCATATAGCACCATGCTGTGCCATGCTGTGCCATGCTGTGCTGTGCCATTGTGCTACCCCATGCCGTGCCATGTCGCACCGTTCCCGCACCAAGCCCGTTCCCTGTCCCGCTCCAGGTCGCGCTCACCGCCGAGGACACGGCACCGCTGTCCCTGGCCACGGCAGCCGGGGCGCAGCCGGTGGGTGCCAGCGCCCGCTTCTCCTCGCCGCGGGAGCTGCTCTTCGACACCTTCCATGCGCTGCCCCGCCATGTCTACTACTGGGTGCTGCCCGCGCCCTTCACCGGGGACAAGGTGCCGGTGCCGGTGCCGGCGTCGGGGGGGGATGCAATGGGTGCCCCCATGCCGGGCTGAGCCTCACGTCCCCCCCCCCCCCGCAGGTGACATCGTACGGCGGTGAGCTGCGGTTCACGGTGACGCACCGCGCGCCGGCCGGGGCGCAACCGGTGCCGCGCCAGCCCCACGTCCTGCTGCAGGGCAACGGCATCCTCCTGGAGCACTTCTCCGACACCAGCGTCCCCTCCGGTGTCCCCACCGCTGTCACCGTGCCCATTCGTGAGGTGAGCGCTGGCCCCTGTGTCCCCATAGCCTGTGCTGGGGGGTGTGGGGCATCCATAGGAGCATCCATAGGAGCACCCATAGGAGCACCCATAGGAGCACCCATAGGAACACCCATAGGGGCACCCATAGGAACACCCATAGGGGCACCCATAGGAGCACCCATAGGAACACCCATAGGAGCATTCATAGGAGCATCCATAGGGGCACCCATAGGAGCATCCATAGGAACACCCATACGGGCACTCATAGGGGTACTCATAGGGGCACCCATAGGAGCACTCATAGGGGCACTCATAGGGGCACCCATAGGAGCACTCATAGGGGCATCCATAGCAGCACCCATAGGAGCACCCATAGGAGCATTCATAGGGGCACCCATAGGAGCATCCATAGGAGCACCCATAGGAACACCCATAGGGGCATCCATAGGAGCACCCATAGGGGCACCCATAGAAGCACCCATAGGAGCACCCATAGGAGCACCCATAGGAGCACCCATAGGAGCACCCATAGGAGCACCCATAGGAGCACCCATAGGAACGTCCATAGGAACGTTCATAGGAGCACCCATAGGAGCACCCATAGGGGCACCCATAGGGGCACCCATAGGGGCACCCATAGGGGCACCCATAGGGACACCCATAGGGGCACCCATAGGGGCACCCATAGGGGCACCCATAGGGGCACCCATAGGGGCACCCATAGGGGCACCCATAGGAGCACCCATAGGAACACCCATAGGAACTTCCATAGGAGCACCCATAGGGGCACCCATAGGGGCACCCATAGGGGCACCCATAGGAGCACCCATAGGGGCACCCATAGGAGCACCCATAGGGGCACCCATAGGAGCACCCATAGGAGCACCCATAGGAGCACCCATAGGGGCACCCATAGGAGCATCCATAGGGGCACCCATAGGGGCACCCATAGGAGCATCCATAGGAGCATCCATAGGGGCACCCATAGGAGCACCCATAGCAGCATCCATAGGAGCACCCATAGGGGCACCCATAGGAGCACCCACAGGGGCACCCATATGATGGGGGGGGGGGGGATGGACACAATGGAACCGTGGTGACGCCGGTGGTGCCGCAGCGCGCCTGGCGCAGGGCTGATGGGCGCGAGGCCACGCGGGAGCATCTCCTGATGGCGCTGGCGGATGTCGAGGTCCTCATGATCCGGGCGTCCTACATGGAGCAGCAGGAGGAGAGCAGGTGCTGGGGACAGGGGGATATAGGGAGAGGGGGACAGGGGGCTATGATGTCATGGGGAGATGGAGACACAGGGACATGGGGATATGGGGACATGGGGAGTTGGGGCCATGTGGATATAGGGGTACAGAGACATGGGGAGATGGGGATACAGGGACATGGGGATATGGGTGCATGGGGTCAGGGGTAGATGGGGACACAGGGACATGGAACATGGGGAGTTGGGGCCATGTAGATATAGGGGTACAGAGACATGGGGACATGGGGAGATGGGGCCATGTGGATATAGGGATCCAGAGACATGGGGATATGGGGACACAAGGACATGGGGATATGGCTGCATGGGGCCATGGGGAAATGGGGATATGGGGACACAGAGACATTGGAGATAGGGGGACACAGGGTCATGAGGAGATGGGGATACAGGGACATGGAACACTGGGAGCTGGGGATATGGGGATGCAGGGACATGGGGATATGGGTGCATAGGGAAATGGGGATATAGTTAGGGATACAGGGACACGAGGACATGGGGCTATGGGGTCATGGGGAGATGGGGATATGAGGGTGCAGGGACATGGGGATATGGGTGCCTGGGGTCATGGGGAGATTGGGATACACAGACATGGAACATGGGGACATAGGGAGTTGGGGCCATGTGGATATAGGGATACAGAGACATGGGGCTATGGGGTCATGGGGAGATGGGGACCCAGGGACATGGGGATATGGGGACATGGGGATATGGGTGCATGGGGATATGGGTGCATGGGGACATGGGGATGTGGGGACATGCGGCTATGGGGTCATGGGGAGATGGGGATATGAGGATGCAAGGACATGGGGATATGGGTGCATGGGGACATAGGGATATGGGGACGCAAGGACACGAGGATATGGGTGCATGGGGACATGGGGAGATGGGGACACAGGGACATGGAACATGGGGACATGGGGAGTTGGGGCCATGTGGATATAGGGATACAGAGACATGGGGATATGGGGGTTCAGGGACATGGGGATATGGGTCCATGGGGTTATGGGGACATGGGGATATGAGGACACAGGGCCATGGGGCTATGGGTGCCTGGGGACCCAGGGCCATGGGGACAGAGGGACCGTGGGTGCGGGCAGGCCGGGCAGTGGGGCCGTCCCCTGTCCCCGCAGGCTGTCCGATGTCACCCTGGACGTGGCGGTGCCGCACGCCACCGGGCGCCCGCCGGCACTGGAGGTGGAGGACTGCACGTGCCCGGCCGGGTACCGGGGGGCCTCCTGCCAGGTGAGACCCCCCCCCCAGACCCCCCCACCCCAGTATCAGCCACATCACCCCCCCCCTTCATCCTCATGTCCCCATCACAGGACTGCGACACCGGCTACACCCGCAGCAGCGCCGGGCTCTACCTGGGCACGTGTGAGCCCTGCCAGTGCCACGGCCACAGCACCGAGTGCCACCCCGAGACCGGGGTCTGCCAGGTGAGCTGGGGACACCCCCAAACCCCCCCCTCCATGGCAGCCCCATGGCTGTGCCAATGCCAGCTCCCTCCCCGCATCCTCCCCTTGCAGGGCTGCCGGGATCACACCGAAGGTCCCCAATGTGACAAGTGCCAACCTGGCTACTACGGCGATGCCACCCGCGGCACCGCGGGCGACTGCCAGCCCTGTCCTTGCCATGGACCCCATGGGGAAAGCCAGTAGGTGCCACCCCCACAGTGTCCCCCCCTATCCCTGGGGACACCAATGGGGTCTCCTCCATCCCTTTGTCCCCCCATAGGGTGGCCAAGACCTGCTTTGAAGACACGGATGGGCAGCCAACCTGCAGCGCCTGCGCCCCGGGGCACAGCGGGCGCCAGTGCCAGAGGTACCAGGGGGACCTAAGGGGGGGGGTGTGGGGTGATTTATGGGGTGTAACCCCCCCTCATTGGCTCTTATTGGTGACCCCATGTAGGTGCTCACCGGGGTACGTGGGGGACCCTCTGCGGGGGGAGCCGTGCCGAGGTGAGTGTCAAAGCAAAGGGGATGTGGTGGTGGCATTGATGGGGTCACGTTAACCAATGCATGTGTGTCTGTGTCCCCCCCCAGAGCCGGGTGTCCCCATAGGGCAGTGCCAATGTGACCCACGCGGCAGCACCGGTGAAGGCTGCGATGCCAACGGGCAGTGCCGCTGCAAGGTGAGCCCGGTGCCCGCATCCCCGTGTCCCCAAGCCCAATGAGGGCGATGCCACCCCTGATGGTGTCACCGTGCCCTGCGCAGGCCAACGTGGAGGGGCCCCGCTGTGCCTCCTGCCGGCCCCATCACTTCCACCTGAGCGCGGAGCAGGCGGCCGGGTGCCTGCCCTGCTTCTGCATGGGCATCGTCCAGCACTGCGCCAGCACCGGCTATGCCCGCGGCACCGTGAGTGACCCCCCCTTGTCCCTATGGTGTCCCCATGGTGTCCCCATGGCATCCCCATTGTGTCCCCATGGCATCCCCAGTGTCCCCATGATGTCGCCATGGCATCCCCATGGTGTCCCCAGTGTCCCCATGGCATCCCCATGGCATCCCCATTGTGTCCCCATGGTGTCCCCAGTGTCCCCATGGCGTCCCCAGTGTCCCCATGGAGACCCCATGGTGTCCCCAGTGTCCCCATTGTGTCCCCATGGTGTCCCCAGTATCCCCATTGTGTCTCCATGGTGTCTCCAGTGTCCCCATGGCATCCTCAGTGTCCCCATTGTGTCCCCATGGCATCCCCAGTGTCCCCATGGCGTCCCCAGTGTCCCCATTGTTTCACCATGGTGTCCCTAGTGTCCCCATAGCGTCCCCAGTGTCCCCATTGTGTCCCCATGGCATCCCCAGTGTCCCCATGGCATCCCCATGGCGTTCCCATGGCATCCCCAGTGTCCCCATGGTGTCCCCAGTGTCCCCATTGTGTCCCCATGGCGTCCCCAGTGTCCCCATGGCGTCCCCAGTGTCCCCATTGTGTCCCCATGGGATCCCCAGTGTCCCCATGGCATTCCCAGTGTCCCCATGGCATTCCCAGTGTCCCCATGGCGTCCCCAGTGTCCCCATGACATCCCCATGGCATCCCCATGGTGTCCCCGGTGTCCCCATGGTGTCCCCGGTGTCCCCATGCCATCCCCATGATGTCCCCAGTGTCCCCATGGAGTCCCCATGGCGTCCCCAGTGTCCCCATGCCATCCCCATGCTGTCCCCGGTGTCCCCAGCCCCTTGCTCACCCATTCCCCCCCATCCCTAGGTGCAGACTCGGTTTGGTGCCGGGGATGCTCAGGGTTTCGCACTGGTGAACCGGCAGCGCAGCACCCGCGTGGGCTCCGGCTTCACGGTGCAGCCGGGGCCCCCCCAGCCCCGCCTCAGCTACGGCCGCGTCGGGGCCCTGCCCCCCGACTCCTACTACTGGCAGCTGCCGCCCCCCTACCAAGGGGACAAGGTCATGGGGTGCCCCCCCCACAGGGACAGGGGTGCACCGGGAGCTCTGCCGGAGCCCCCCCTGCATCCCCCTTTCCCCCTTTTTCCTTCCTCATCCCTATCTCACGTCATCACCTTCCCTATCCCCATCCCCATCCCAATCCTCTCCCTTTCCCTTTCCCCCTCCTCTCTCTCTCTGTCTCCTTCTTCCTCTTCCTCTTCCTGTTCTTCTTCCTCTGCCTTCACTTTCCTCATTCCCATCCTGTCCTGCCCCTTCCCTTTCCCATTCCCATCCTGTTCCCATCCCCATCCCTACCCTGTCCTGCCCATTCCCAACCCCATTCCATCCCCATCTCCATCCCCGTTTCAGTCCCATCCTGCCCCTTCCTGTTCCCATCCCATCCTGTTCCCATTTACATCCCTACCCTGTCCTGCCCATTCCCAATCCCATCCCATCCCCATCCCCATTTCAGTCCCATCTTGCCCCTTCCCAATCCCATCCCATCCCCATTTCAATCCCATCCTGCCCCTTCCTGTTCCCATCCCATCCCTTTCCCATTCACATCCCTACCCTGTCCTGCCCATTCCAATCCCATTCCCATCCCCGTTTCAATCCCATCTTGCCCCTTCCCAATTCCATCCCATCCCCATCCCCGTTTCAATCCCATCCTGCCCCTTTCTGTTCCCATCCCGTCCTGTTCCCATCCACATCCCTACCCTATCCTGCCCATTCCCAACCCCATCCCATCACCATCCCCATTTCAAGTCCATCCTGCCCCTTCCTGTTCCCATCCTATCCCTTTCCCATTCACATTCCTGCCCTGTCCTGCCCATTCCCAATCCCATCCCATCCCCATCCCCATTTCAATCCCATCCTGCCCCTTCCTGCTCCCATCTCATCCTGTTCCCATCCCATTCCCATCCCCATCCCTACCCTGTCCTGCCCATTCCCAACCCCATCCCATCCTGTTCCCATCCACATCCCTACCCTGTCCTACCCATTCCCAATCCCATCCCATCCCCATTTAAATCCCATCTTGCCCCTTCCCAATCCCATCCCATCCCCATTTCAATCCCATCCTGCCCCATCCTGTTCCCATCCCATCCCGTTCCCATCCCTACCCTTTCCTGTCTATTCCCAATCCCATCCCCCCCATCCCTATCTCCATCCGACTCTCCCCCTTCCCATTCCCATCCTAACCCTTTTCCCCATCCCAATCCTTATCCCATCCCATCTCCCCATAGGTGGGCTCTTACGGTGGGCGCCTCCGCTACACCCTCACCTACACACCGGGGGGGCAGGGAGCCCCCCTGCCTGACGCCGACATCCAGATCACGGTACACGGGGGTGTTGGGGTCAATGGGACACCATAGGGTGACACCAGGACCCCCCCTTAACCCCTTCTGCCCCCCCCGTCCCCATAGGGCAACGACATCACTCTGGTGGCCCATCAGCCCGACCTGCCCCCAGGCACCCCGCAGGCCTTCGAGATCGTATTCCAGGAGGTAGGAGGGGTCCCTGGGGTCCTGCAGAGCCCCCGTGTCCCCCCCGACACCCCCTGACCCCCCCCTGCCCGCAGCAATACTGGCAGCGCCCGGATGGACAACCGGCGACACGGGAGCATCTCCTGATGGCTTTGGCCGACCTGGATGAGATCCTCATCCGAGCCACCTACTCCACCAGCACGGCCGCAGCCGGCATCGCCGATGTCTCCATGGATGTGGCCGTGCCCCCCCAACCCGGCCTCCCCCCAGCCCTCGAGGTGGAGGAATGCCGCTGCCCCCCTGGGTACCACGGGCTGTCCTGCCAGGTGAGCCCCTGCATCCCTTAGCATCCCCCTGCATCCCCCAGCATCCCCCTGCATCCCTCAGCATCACTCCTGCATCCCCCTGCATCCCTCAGCATCCCCCTGCATCCCTCAGCATCACCCCTGCATCCCCCTGCATCCCTCAGCATCACTTCTGCATCCCTCAGCATCACTCCTGCATCCCTCAGCATCACTCCTGCGTCCCTCAGCATCTCCCTGCATCCCTCAGTATCACCCCTGCATCCCTCAGCATCCCCCTACATCCTCCTGCATCCCTCAGCATCCCCCTACATCCCACTGCATCCCTCAGCATCCCTCCTGTATCCCACTGCATCCCTCAGCATCCCTCCTGTATCCCGCTGCATCCCTCAGCATCCCTCTGGTACCCCACTGCATCCCTCAGCATCCCCCTGCATCCCACTGCATCCCGCTGCATCCGTACTGTATCCCTCAGCATCCCTCAGCATCCCTCTGCATCCCTCCTGCATCCCTCAGCATCCCTCCGGTACCCCACTGCATCCCTCCGGTATCCCCTGCATCCCGCTGCATCCCTCAGCATCCCTCAGCATCCCCCAGCATCTCCCCTGCATCCCCACAACCCTTCCCAGGGGTATTTCGGGGGTGTCATACCACTGAACCCCCCGTTTTTCTTCCTCTCCCCCCCAGGATTGTGCCCCCGGTTACACCCGCACCGGCGGGGGGCTGTACCTGGGGCACTGTGAGCTCTGTGAGTGCAATGGGCATTCCGAGAGCTGCCACCCCGAGAGCGGCGTCTGCTCCGTAAGGCTTCACATTGAGCAGGTTTGGGGGGGTCTGGGGGTGTCATCCCACCCCTGACCCCCCCAATGTGTTTGTGTGTGTGTGTCCCCCACCCAGGGATGCCTGCACAACACAGCAGGGGACTTCTGTGACCAATGTGCCCCTGGGTTCTATGGGGATGCTACCGCTGGTACCCCCGAGGACTGCCAGCCCTGTGCCTGTCCCCTCCCGTACCCCGAGAACCAGTGAGTGCCAATGCTGGGCTGGGGGTGCTGGGGGGTGCTGGGGGGGGGGGGGGGAATGTGTCCGCACCTCATCCATGTGTCCCCATCCAGGTTCTCCAGGACCTGTGAGAGTTTGGGGGGTGGTGGGTACCGCTGCACCGCCTGTGAGCCGGGATACACCGGGCAGTACTGCGAGCGGTGAGCACCTGCACCCCAAACACATCCCATAGACCCATCCCCATCAGGGGTGACCCCATGTACCCACCCCCAAACCCATCCCGATGGGGTCACCCCATGTACCCACCCCCAAACCCATTCCAATGGGGTCACCCCATGTACCCACCCCCAAAACCCACCCTGATGGGCTCCCAATATTCCCACCCCAACACACCCACCCTGATATACTCACCCCAATATACCCAGCCCAATAGAGTCACCCCAATATATGAACCCTGATGCACTCACCCCAATATACCCAACCCAATAGAGTCACCCCAATATATGAACCCTGATGCACTCACCCCAATATATGAACCCTGATGCACTCACCCCAATATATGAACCCTGATGCACCCACCCCAATATACCCAACCCAATGGAGTCACCCCAATACATGAACCCTGATACACCCACCCCAATATACCCAACCCAATAGAGTCACCCCAATACATGAACCCTGATGCACCCACCCCAATATACCCAACCCAATAGAGTCACCCCAATACATGAACCCTGATGCACCCACCCCAATATACCCAACCCAATAGAGTCACCCCAATACATGAACCCTGATGCACCCACCCCAATATACCCAACCCAATAGAGTCACCCCAATACATGGACCCTGATGCACCCACCCCAATATACCCAACCCAATAGAGTCACCCCAATACATGAACCCTGATGCACCCACCCCAATATACCCAACCCAATAGAGTCACCCCAATACATGGACCCTGATGCACCCACCCCAATATACCCAACCCAATAGAGTCACCCCAATACATGAACCCTGATACACCCACCCCAATATACCCAACCCAATAGAGTCACCCCAATACATGGACCCTGATGCACCCACCCCAATATACCCAACCCAATAGAGTCACCCCAATACATGAACCCTGATGCACCCACCCCAATATACCCAACCTAATAGAGTCACCCCAATACATGGACCCTGATGCACCCACCCCAATATACCCAACCCAATACCTCCCTCCTGCCATTCCCCCCAGTATACGCACCCCATTGCACCCCTCAACCCCTGCTCACCCCTTATCCCCACAGCTGTGCCCAGGGCTATGTGGGTGACCCATCGGTGCGCGGCCAGGGCTGTGTCCCGGTGGGCCCCCCGGTGCCGCTGGCCGTGCGGGTGCACCCACCCCGCACCGCGGTGGCGCAGGGCAGCGCCGTCACCCTGCGGTGCCAGGCCACCGGGGACCCCCCCTTCTACTACCACTGGGCACGGGAAGATGGGAGACCCCTTCCTGAGGGTGCCCAGAGCCGGCAGCAAGGTATGGGGTGGCATTGGGGTGTCCCCAAGGTGGGGATGGGGGGATATGGGGTGTCACATGTGTGTCCCCCTAAGGTGAGGAGCTGCACTTTGCCAGCATCCAGCCCTCCGAAGCCGGTGTCTACATCTGCTCCTGCCGCAACCTGCGGCACAGCAACGCCAGCCGCGCCGAGGTCATCGTCACCGGTGGGTCGCGGTCACCCAGGGGACCCCTTGGCTATGGGGGGGGCAGTGGGGTGAACTCTCCTCTCTCGGCACAGAGACCCCCGGCAAAGCCATCACCGTCACCGTGGAGGAGAAGCGGGTGCAGAGGGTGAAGCCTGGGGCTGATGTCACCTTTGTCTGCACCGCCAAGAGCAAGGTGAGCATGGGGGCACCTTTGGGTGGGCATGGAGGCACCTCTGGGTGCCCATGGGGATGTGAAGGGCATGGGGACACCTCTGGGTGCCCCTGGGGATGTGCAGGGCATGGGGACACCCCTGGGTGTACCCATAGGGATGTGCAGGGCATGGGGACACCTCTGGGTGCCCATAGGGGTGTGAAGGGCATGGGGACAGCTTTGGGTGCCCATAGGGATGTGCAGGGCATGGGGACACCTTTGGGTGCCCATGGGGATATGCAGGGCATGGGGACACCCTTGGGTGCCCAGCCAGTCTTATGGTCCCCCAAGCACCCTCAGGTGCCCATGTATCACTGTGGGACACCCGTAGGTTCCCACAGGAGCATACAGGGACGCCCCTGGGTGCCCATGGGGATGTACAGGGCATGGGAACACCCTTGGATGCCTATGGGGCTATATAGGTCACCCCTGGGTGCCCACCTGGTCACATGGGATGCACAAGGACTCCTGAGTGCCCATAGGGTACCGGTTGACATCGGGACACCCTTGGGTGCCCAGCCATTCCTATGGGCCCCCCAAACACCCTTGAGTGCCCATGTACCTCTATGGCACACACTGGGTGCTCCATGGGTGTGTAGTACCGGAGGACATAGGGACACCCTTGGGTGCCCAGCCATTCCTATGGGCCCCCCAAACACCCTTGGGTGCCCATGTGCCTCTATGGCACATACTGGGTGCTCCATGGGTGTGCGGTACCGGAGGACATAGGGACACCCTTGGGTGCCCAGCCATTCCTATGGGCCCCCCAAACACCCTCGGGTGCCCATGTACCTCTATGGCACACACTGGGTGCTCCATGGGTGTGCGGTACCGGAGGACATAGGGACACCCTTGGGTGCCCAGCCATTCCTATGGGCCCCCCAAACACCCTCGGGTGCCCATGTACCTCTATGGCACACACTGGGTGCTCCATGGATGTGCGGTACCGGAGGACATAGGGACACCCTTGGGTGCCCAGCCATTCCTATGGGCCCCCCAAACACCCTTGGGTGCCCATGTACCTCTATGGCACACACTGGGTGCTCCATGGGTGTGCAGCCCCTGCGCGTGCCCATCACAGTGGCCTCAGGCCTGCCCCTGTCCTGTCCCATTCCCCCCCCCTCCAGTCTCCTGCCTACACCCTGGTGTGGACACGGCAGAACCACGGCTCGCTGCCGGCCGGGGCCATGGACTTCAATGGCATCCTGACCCTGCGGCGCGTGCGGCCCGAGGACGCCGGCGTCTACGTCTGCACCGGCTCCAACATGCTGGACATGGACGAGGGCACCGCCACGCTCTACGTGCAGGGTGAGCCACGGGGATGGGCACCCTAGAGCCCAGGCACCGGGGTGATGGGCACAGCCAGCACGCTGATGGGCAACCAGATGTTGGGTGCGCTTAGTGCCGTGAAGCCATAGTGAGGGACAGGCTTGGCACCCAGACACCAGGGGGATGGGCCCTCTGGGTGCCTCGACACTGGGGTAATGGGTCTGCTCGTTGCCCAGATGCCAGGGTGATGGGCACAGTTGGTGCTTAGACATTAAGGTGATGGGCACTCTGGGTGCAAAGACACTGGGGTAATGGGTCTGCTCGTTGCCCAGATGCCAGGGTGATGGGCACAGTTGGTGCTTAGACATTAAGGTGATGGGCATGCTGGCTGCGCAGGCACTGGGGTGATGGGCAAGCTCGGTGCCCAGATGCCAGGGTGATGGGCACACTTGGTGCTTAGACACCAAGGTGATGGGCATGCTGGGTGCCTAGATGCCGGGGTGATGGGCTTGCTGGCTGCGCAGGCACTGGGGTGACGGGCAAGCTCGGTGCCCAGATGCCAGGGTGATGGGCAGACCCTCCATGTAGATACCGGGGTGATGGGCAAGCTCGGTGCCCAGATGCCAGGGTGATGGGCAGATCCACCATGTAGATACTGGGGTGATGGGCAAGCTCGGGGCCCAGATGCCAGGGTGATGGGCAGACCCACCATGTAGATACCGGGGTGATGGGCAAGCTCGGTGCCCAGATGCCAGGGTGATGGGCAGACCCACCATGTAGATACCGGGGTGATGGGTAAGCTCGGTGCCCAGATGCCAGGGTGATGGGCAGACCCACCATGTAGATACCGGGGTGATGGGCACACTTGGCTCTCAGAGGCTGGGTCACTGGAGTGAGTGCAGTGCCCAGACACCCGGGTGATGGGCTCCCCTGACACCCGCATCCTCTTACAGCACCCTCCAAGACTCAGATGTTTTATGGCCCTGTTGAGTTCATGGAGGGGCACAGACCGGGTAAGTCCCTGTGTTGGAGGGGCCTGGGGGGGGGGTCCACGCGCTGCCCCCCACCCACTGCACGCCAAGGCTCCACCGTGCACCCCACTGTGCACCGCACCACGCCACCCCCCCACCACCCTGCTTCCCACCGCTCCAGCACCTTGGCTGGGGGGGGGGGGTGTCCGGCCAGTTCTGAACCCCCCCCCTCCCACCCTGGTGTCACCACAGCCGGCACCGCCGCAGCCCCCACCGCCGCCGTGGAGCCGGCGCAGCTGAGCGTGGCACCGGGGCAGCCGGCAGAGTTCCGCTGCGTGGGCACCGGCAGCCCCCTGCCCACCCTCGAGTGGCTCGGTAGGTGCCTGCGGGGATGGGGGCTCACTGCGGTACCGGGCTCGGGGGTGCGGTGATGGGGGTGACACCGGGCTGTGTTCCCACCCCTTGCAGGAGCGCTGCCGCCGCGGGCTGTGGTCCATGGGGGGATGCTGCGGTTCAGCGCCGTGGAGCCCGCGGATGAAGGGCACTACATGTGCCGGGCGCGCAGCAGCGCTGGGCAGCACACGGCACGGGCCTTCCTCCATGTGCAAGGTGGGTGCTGTCCCCGTTGTCCTGGTTATCCCTCTCATCCCTGTTATCCCCGTTATCCCTGTCTTCCATTGGCCATCATCCTCATCACTGTTATCACCTACATCACCCCCCCTTGGCCCCATCATCCCTGTCACCCCTGTGGTCCCCATCATCCCTGTCATTGATCTCCATCATCCCCGTCATCTGCATTGTCCCCATCACCCCCATCAGCATCATCCCTGTCATTTCCCATCATCCATTGCCCTCATCGCCATCATCCCACCATCACCCACCAGACACCCCCATCATTCCCACTATCCCCAGTGTTGCCATCATCCCCGTCACCCCCCATCATCCCCACCACCACTCATTGTCCCCATCATCCCCATGACCCCCATCATCCCTGTCATTGATCTCCATCATCCCCATCATCTGCATTGTCCCCATCACCCCCTTCAGCATCATCCCTGTCATTTCCCATCATCCACTGCCCTCATCACCATTATCCCACCATCACCATCACCCACCAGACACCCCCATCATTCCCATTATCCCCAGTGTTGCCATCATCCCCGTCACCCCCCATCATCCCCACCACCACTCATTGTTCCCATCATCCCCATGACCCCCATCATCCCTGTCATTGATCTCCATCATCCCCATCATCTGCATTGTCCCCATCACCCCCTTCAGCATCATCCCTGTCATTTCCCATCATCCATTGCCCTCATCACCATCATCCCACCATCACCATCACCCACCAGACACCCCCATCATTCCCACTATCCCCAGTGTTGCCATCATCCCTGTCACCCCCCATCATCCCCACCACCACTCATTGTCCCCATCATCCCCATGACCCCCATCATCCCTGTCATTGATCTCCATCATCCCCATCATCTGCATTGTCCCCATCACCCCCTTCAGCATCATCCCTGTCATTTCCCATCATCCATTGCCCTCATCACCATCATCCCACCATCACCATCACCCACCAGACACCCCCATTATTCCCACTATCCCCAGTGTTGCCATCATCCCTGTCACCCCCCATCATCCCCACCACCACTCATTGTTCCCATCATCCCCATGACCCCCATCATCCCTGTCATTGATCTCCATCATCCCCATCATCTGCATTGTCCCCATCACCCCCATCAGCATCATCCCCATCATTTCCCATCATCCATTGCCCTCATCACCATCATCCCACCATCACCCACCAGACACCCCCATCATTCCCATTATCCCCAGTGTTGCCATCATCCCTGTCACCCCCCATCATCCCCACCACCACTCATTGTCCCCATCATCCCCATGACCCCCATCATCCTTGTCATTGATCTCCATCATCCCCATCATCTGCATTGTCCCCATCACCCCCATCAGCATCATCCCCGTCATTTCCCATCATCCATTGCCCTCATCACCATCATCCCACCAGACACCCCCATCATTCCCACTATCCCCAGTGTTGCCATCATCCCTGTCACCCCCCATCATCCCCATCATCCCCACGACCCCCATCACCTCCATCCTCCCCTTCATCCCCTGTTGTCCCCATCACCCTCATCACCTCCATCACTCCCATCACCTCCAGTGCCCTCCTGTCCCTACAGGCACCAACGCACCGCAGGTGCAGGTGAGCCCGGAGCAGACGGAGGTGCAGGAGGGCTCCACGGTGCGGCTCTACTGCCGCGTCTCGGGGTCACCCACCGCCACCATCACCTGGGAGAAGCAGGGGGGCACCCTGCCGCCGCAGGTGAGCCGGGCACCGGCACCCTTGGGTGCTCCTTGGGGGTGTGTGCACCATGGGTGCCGTTCACACCCACCCTTGTGCCGCAGTCCCGCACTGAGCACGGTGACATCGCCACGCTGGTCATCCCCACCGTGACAGCGGCCGATGGGGGCATCTACCTCTGCGTGGGCACCAGCGCCGCGGGCACGGCTCGCGCTGCCATCGAGGTGGTGGTGGTGCCAGGTGAGGAGGGTGCGGAGCATCGGTGGGGTTTGGGGTGGTTTTGGGGGGCCACAACCAATCCGTGTCCCCCCTTTTCCCCCATGCAGGGTCCGCACCGCCTGTGCGCATCGAGTCCTCATCCCCATCCGTCACCGAGGGGCAGACCCTGGACCTTGACTGTGTGGTGGCCGGAGCCGGTGCCACCACCGTGACGTGGTACAAGCGCGGTGGCTCCCTGCCCGCCGGGCACCAGGTATGGCAGCGGCAGCACCGGTGGCACTGGCAGCACCCCCCATCCTGCCCTGTGCCCCGCTGTGTGACACCAACGCATGTCCCCATCCGCAGGTCTCGGGGTCCCGGCTCCGTGTCCCCCATGTCACAGCGGCTGACTCAGGGGAGTACGTGTGCCGGGCGAGCATGGGGACCACTGTGCGGGAGGCGTCCGTCACCGTCACCGTCGTGGCTGGATCCGGCTCATCCTATGGTGAGACCGGGCTCGGTGGCACCGGCAGGGATGTGCTGGTCCCAGACTGGGGCTCATGGCTCCATTCTTCCCCCTAGGGCCACCAGCATCGGGTGTCCCCATCCGCATTGATGCATCTTCATCCACTGTGGCCGAGGGACAGAGCCTGGACCTCAACTGCGTGGTGGCCGGGCGGGGCCAGGCCACCATCACCTGGTACAAGCGCGGGGGGTCCCTCCCGGCCAAGCACCAGGTAGGGGACATGGAGGGGATGGCACCAACGGGGGTGCTTGGGGTTGATGCATGGTCCCGTGCAAGCTTTGGTGGCCCCATAGAAACCCAAATCCCCCCGGTGACCCCCATGTCCCCTCCCCATAGGTGTCCGGCTCCCGGCTGCGGCTGCTGCAGGTGACAGCGGCCGATTCGGGCGAGTACGTGTGCCGGGTGACCAGCGGGGCCAGCACCAAGGAGAGCGCGGTGATGGTGACCATCCAACCCAGTGGGGCCAGCACGTACCGTGAGTGGGGACTGGAGGGGTGACAGTGCCAGTGTAGGGGGTGGCACTGACCATGGCTCCTGTGCCCGTGCTGGTGGGGAGCTGCTGTTGTCCCCGGTGTCACCCTCTTGCCTTGGTCCCCAGCGCCGGGCAGCACCACCCCACTGCGCATCGAGTCCCCATCCTCTGCTGTGGCCGAGGGGCAGAGCCTGGACCTCAACTGCGTCATCGCCAGCCCCGCTCAGGCCACCGTCACCTGGTACAAGCGCGGGGGGTCCCTCCCGGCCAAGCACCAGGTAGGGGACATGGAGGGGATGGCACCAATGGGGGTGGTTGGGGTTCACCAATGGCCCCATCAAGCTCTTGGAAGACCAAGTGATCCCATATAAGCCCAGGTGGCCCCATTCAAACCCAAGTGGCCAATGGAAGACCAAGTGACCCTATATAAGCCCAGATGGCCCATTCAAGCCCAAGTGGCCAATGGAAGACCAATTGACCCCATATAAGCCCAGGCAGCCCATGGAAGACCAAGTGATCCCATACAAGCCCAGGTGACCCATTCAAACCCAAGTGGCCCATGGAAGAGCAAGTGATCCCATATAAGCCCAGGTGTCCCATTCAAGCCCAAGTGGCCAATGGAAGACTAAGTGACCCCATATAAGCCCAGATGGCCCCATTCAAGCCCAGGCAGCCAATGGAAGACCAAGTGACCCCATATAAGCCCAGGTGGCCCATGGAAGCCGAGGTGGCTTGCGCAAGCTCAAGTGGCCTTGTGCAATCCCAGATGGCCCCATGCAAGCACTGGTGGCCCCATTGACCCCGGTGTCCCCTCCCCATAGGTGTCCGGCTCCCGGCTGCGTCTGCTGCAGGTGACAGCGGCCGATTCGGGCGAGTACGTGTGCCGGGTGACCAGCGGGGCCAGCACCAAGGAGACCTCCATCGTGGTGACCATCCAGCCCAGTGGGGCCAGCACCTACCGTGAGTGGGGACCGGAGCGGACACGGGACATTGCCCATGGGGAGGGTGGCATTGCCCTGTGGTGGCTTTGGGTATGGGATGAATCATTCCCTGCGGAAGACCCCTGTGTGCGTGCCCATCCCCGGGCTCCCTGTGTCCCTTGGGGGGTGATGCGTGGTGGGGCCATGCTCTATTAACCCATCTCGGTCCCCAGCGGGCAGCACGACCCCACTGCGCATCGAGTCCTCGTCCTTGTCATCGCCCGTGGCCGAGGGGCAGAGCCTGGACCTCAACTGCGTCATCGCCAGCCCCGCTCAGGCCACCGTCACCTGGTACAAGCGCGGGGGGGCCCTCCCGGCCAAGCACCAGGTAGGGGACATGGAGGGGATGGCACCAATGGGGGTGCTTGGGGTTCACCAATGGGATCCATCAAGCCATGGTGGCCCATTCAAGGTCAGGTTGCCTGTGCAAGATGAAGTGACCCCATAGAAGTCCTGGTGGCCCCATTTAATTCCTGTTGGCTCCGTGCAAGCCCAGGTGGACCACGCAATGTCAGGTGGTCCCATGCAAGCCCATGTTGGCCATACAAGACCAAGCAACCTCATATAGGTCGAGATGGTCTATGGAAGACCAGATGACCCCATATAAGCCCAGATGGACCCAGTCAAGCCCAAGTGGCCAATGGAAGACCAAGTGACCCCATATAAGTTTAGGTGGCCTCAGTTAAACCCAAGTGGCCAATGGAAGACTAAGTGACCCCATATAAGCCCAGGTGGCCCCATTCAAACCCAAGTGGTCAATGGAAGACCAAGTGACCCATATAAGCCCAAGTGGCCCATTCAAGCCCAAGTGGCCAATGTAAAACCAGTTGACCCCCTATAAGCCCAGGCAGCCCATGAAAGACCAAGTGACCCATATAAGCCTAGGTGGCCTCATTCAAACCCAAGTGGCCAATGGAAAACCAAGTGATCCCATATATAAGCCCACATGGCCTCATTCAAACCCAAGTAGCCAATGGAAGACCAAGTGATCCCATAAAAGCCCAGGTAGCCCCATTGAAACCCAAGTGGCCAATGGAAGACCAAGTGACCCTATATAAGCCTAGATGGCCCATTCAAGGCCAAGTGGCCAATGGAAGACCAATTGACCCCCTATAAGCCCAGGCAGCCCATGGAAGACCAAGTGATCCCATACAAGCCCAGGTGGCCTCAGTTAAACCCAAGTGGCCAATGGAAGACCAATTGACCCCCTATAAGCCCAGGCAGCCCATGGAAGACCAAGTGATCCCATACAAGCCCAGGTGGCCTCAGTTAAACCCAAGTGGCCAATGGAAGACCAATTGACCCCCTATAAGCCCAGGCAGCCCATGGAAGACCAAGTGATCCCATACAAGCCCAGGTGGCCTCAGTTAAACCCAAGTGGCCAATGGAAGACCAATTGACCCCCTATAAGCCCAGGCAGCCCATGGAAGACCAAGTGACCCCATATAAGCCCAGGTGGCCCCATTCAAACCCAAGTGGCCAGTGGAAGACCAAGTGATCCCATACAAGCCCAGGTGGTCTCAGTTAAACCCAAGTGGCCCATGGAAGACCAAGTGATTCCATAAAAGCCCAGGTGGCCCCATTCAAACCCAAGTGGCCAATGGAAGACCAAGTGACTCCATATAAGCCCAGGTGTCCCATTCAAACCCAAGTGGCCAATGGAAGACCAATTGACCCCATATAAGCCCAGATGGCCCCATTCAAGCCTAGGCAGCCCATGGAAGACCAAGTGACCCCATATAAGCCCAGATGGCCCATGGAAGCCGAGGTGGCTTGCGCAAGCTCAAGTGGCCTTGTGCAATCCCAGATGGCCCCGTTCAAGCACTGGTGGCCCCATTGACCCCGGTGTCCCCTCCCCATAGGTGTCCGGCTCCCGGCTGCGGCTGCTGCAGGTGACAGCGGCCGATTCGGGTGAGTACGTGTGCCGGGTGACCAGCGGGGCCAGCACCAAGGAGACCTCCATCGTGGTGACCATCCAGCCCAGCGGGGCCAGCACCTACCGTGAGTGGGGACCGGAGCGGACACGGGGCCAGGGGCCCATGCATGGGCCTTGGGGTGACTCCTCCATCTCTGTCCCCAGCTGCTGGTGTCACCCCCCCGGTGCGCATCGAGTCCTCATCGTCCTCTGTGGCCGAGGGGCAGACCCTGGACCTCAACTGCATTGTGGCCGGGCAGGGACAGGCGACTGTCACCTGGTACAAGCGCGGGGGGACCCTCCCGGCCAAGCACCAGGTAGGGGACGTGAAGGGGATGGCATCAATTGGTTGGGGTTGACCCATGGCCCCATCCAAGCCTAAAGGAGCGTTTTGGGGTGGAAAAGTGATTTTTGGGGGGCTTGAGGGATCTGTGTCCCCCTCCTCACTTGTGTCACCCCCTCCAGGTGTCGGGCACCCGCCTGCGCATCCCGCAGGTGACAGCGGCCGACTCGGGGGAGTACGTGTGCAGGGTGACATCGGGCGGCACCCCACACGAGACGTCCCTCATCGTCACCATCCACACCGGCGCCGGCTCCTCCTACGGTACCGGGGGTGGGTGGGAGGTGACACGGGGACAGGATGGGGACACGGAGCTGATCCTTTCATTGACCCCCCCCCAGCCGTCGGTGTCACCCCCCCGGTGAGGATTGAGACCTCGTCCGCTGCCGTCACCGAGGGGCAGACCCTGGACCTCAACTGCATGGTGGCCGGGCAGGGGCACCCCCATGTCACCTGGTACCGGCGCGGTGGGGCTCTGCCCCCCAACAGCCAGGTAGGGCAGTGGGAGGAGAGGGGGGGGGATGGCATCACCCCATGGGGCGCAGCCCCACATCAGACATTGACGTGTCCCCATGTTGTCACCCCTTCAGGTGTCGGGGACCCGCCTGCGCCTGGCTCAGGTGGCAGTGGCCGATTCGGGGGAGTACGTGTGCAGGGTGACCCTGGGTAGTGCCACGCAGGAGGCGTCCGTCATTGTCACCGTGCCCAGCACCGCCGGTTCCTATTACCGTGAGTGCGAGCCCCACGGCAGCGCATGGGGGTGCCCGGTGCCACCCCAATACCAAACACCCCCCTCCCTGTTCCTCCACAGCCTCCAGCGTCTCCCAGCCCCTCCGCATCGAGTCCTCGTCCTCAGCCATCGCCGAGGGACAGGTCCTGGACCTCAACTGCGTGGTGGCAGGGTCCGGTCCCACCACCGTGACGTGGTACAAGCGCGGTGGCTCCCTGCCCGCCGGACACCAGGTAGGGGTGCATTGGGAGGGGGTTACCCTGTGTTTGTCCTGTTCTGTGCTCTCTGGTGCTGATTGTCCCCACGTTGTCCCCTCGAGGTGTCGGGCTCCCGCCTGCGCATCCCCCAGGTGACAGCAGCCGATTCGGGGGAGTACGTGTGCAGGGTGACATCGGGTGGCATCACGCAGGAGACGTCCCTCGTCGTCACCATTGATGATGGAGCCAACCCATCCCACTGTGAGTGCCACCCTTTGGGGCACGGGGCCCATGCCGGTGCTGGGGACCAGTGGGGATGTTCACCCTTCACCCTGCCCCGCAGCCACCGGTGTCACGCCACCCATCCGCATCGAGTCCTCAGCATCCTCCGTCACCGAGGGACAGACCCTGGACCTGGACTGCGTGGTGGCCGGGCAGGGCCAGGCCACCATCACCTGGTACAAGCGCGGGGGGACCCTCCCGGCCAAGCACCAGGTAGGGGACATGGAGGGGATGGCACCAACGGGGGTGCTTGGGGTTGTGATGGGATGGGGACGGTGGCTGTGGGTGATGCCACCACCACCACCACCACCACCACCACCAACACCTCTTGCCATGGTGTTCCCAGACATCAGGGTCGCGCCTGCGCCTGTCCCAGCTCTCAGTGGCCGATTCGGGGGAGTACGTGTGCCGGGCTGACACGGGCAGCGTGTCCCGTGAGGCCACCATCACCGTCACCGTCACCTCCCGGGACAGCTCCAGCTACCGTGAGTGCGGCCATGGGGCAAGGCAAGGTGCCCCAGGGGTGGTACAGGGGATGTGGGTGACCCTCATGGCTTCCCCTTGTCCCTGCAGGCCTGCAGAGCCCCATCATCTCCATCGACCCACACAGCATGGCGGTGGCACCGGGCGAGGATGCCACCTTCAAGTGCCGTGTCCACGATGGTGCTCGGCCCGTCAACATCACTTGGCGGATGGGACCTGGCCAACATTTCCAAGGTATGGTGGTGCCCAGGGTGGCCCCGATGCCATCCCCAGGGTGGCCCCGGTGCTGATGGCTCCTCCTTGCCCAGACAATGTGAAGATCAGCGCCAACGGCTCCGTCATCTCCATCACCGGCGCCCATGTGAGCAACCAGGGTGCCTACCACTGCGTGGCCTCCAACCGCTTTGGTGTTGCTAGCAGCGTTGTCAACCTCCTGGTGCAAGGTGCGAGGTGGCCCTGGCCCTGGGCCTGTGTGCTTCAGGTGCCCCCGGGGTGGTGGTGTCCCTGCTCCAGTCCCCATACTGGTATCTTCCATGTGACCCAAATACTGCTGGGGTGATGGTGTCCCCATCCTTGTGGCCATGCTTCAGGTGCTCCTGTAGTGGTGGTGTCCAGGTCCCCATGCTGATATCCTCCATGGGTTCCTGATGCTGCTGGGATGGAGGTGTCTCCATCCCCATGTCCTCCATTGGCTCCAGATACTCTTGGGATGGAGGTGTCTCCATCCCCATGTTCTCCATGGGCTCCAGATGCTCCTGGGATGGAGGTGTCCCCATCCCCATGTCCTCCATGGGTTCCAGATGCTCCTGGGATGGAGGTGTCTCCATCCCCATGTCCTCCATGGGCTCCAGATGCTCCTGAGATGGAGGTGTCCCCATCCCCATGTCCTCCATGGGCTCCTGATGCTCCTGGGATGGAGGTGTCTCCATCCCCATGTCCTCCATTGGCTCCAGATACTCTTGGGATGGAGGTGTCTCTGTCTCCATGTCCTCCCTGTGCTCCTGATGCTGCTGGGATGGAGGTGTCCCCATCCCCATGTCCTCCATGGGCTCCAGATGCTCCTGGGATGGAGGTGTCTCCATCCCCATGTCCTCCATTGGCTCCAGATGCTCCTGGGATGGAGGTGTCCCCATCCCCATGTCCTCCATGGGCTCCTGATGCTCCTGGGATGGAGGTGTCCCCATCCCCATGTCCTCCATGGGCTCCAGATGCTCCTGGGATGGAGGTGTCTCCATCCCCATGTCCTCCATGGGCTCCAGATGCTCCTGGGATGGAGGTGTCCCCATCCCCATGTCCTCCATGGGCTCCAGATGCTCCTGGGATGGAGGTGTCCCCATCCCTATGCTGATGTCCCCCCCATGCTCCAGATACCCCATAGTGATGTCCCCAATGCCGCGCCATCACCCTTAGTGCTGGCATCCCCATCCCCGCACTGATCTCCTCCTCCTCCTCCTCCAGGTGCCCCCACGGTGTCGGTGATGCCGCCAGGCCCCGTCTCGGTGAAGGAGGGCAAATCCCTGAGCCTGGAGTGCCTGGGCCGGGGCGAGCCGCGGCCGCTGGTGCGCTGGAGCCGGCCGGGCTCCCGGCAGAAGGTGGAGCACCAAACACTGCTGCACATGGACAGCCAGGCCATCCTGCAGGTCAGCGGGGGTGCTGGTGGGGGCCGATGGGTGCCAGTGGGTGCCATTGGGTGCTGATGAGTGTCAATGGGTGCCAATGGGTGCCATTGGGTGCTGATGAGTGCCGATGGGTGCCATTGGGTGCCGATGGGTGCCAATGGGTGCCAGTAGGTGCCATTGAATGCTGATGGGTGCCAGTGGGTGCCACTGGGTGCTGATGAGTGCCAATGGGTGCCGATGTGTGCCAGTAGGTGCCATTGGGTGCCGATGGGTGCCAGTGGGTGCCATTGGGTGCTGATGAGTGGCGATGGGTGCCGATAGGTGCCATTGGGTGCCGATGGGTGCCGATGTGTGCCAATAGGTGCCATTGAGTGCCGATGGGTGCCAGTGGGTGCCATTGGGTGCTGATGGGTGCCGATGGGTGCCATTGGGTGCTGATGGGTGCCGATGGGTGCCGATGGGTGCCAGTAGGTGCCATTGGGTGCTGATGAGTGCCGATGGGTGCCAGTGGGTGCCATTGGGTGCTGGTGGGTGCAGGTGGGTGCCATTGGTTGCTGATGGGTGCCGATGGATGCCAACGGGTGCTGACGGGTGCCAATGGGTGCCAGTGGGTGCTGATGGGTGCCGATTTGTGCTGTTGGGTGCCGATGGGTGCTGATGGGTGCCAATTCATGCTGTTGGGTGCCAATGAGTGCCAACAGGTGCTGATGGGTGCCGATGGGTGCCGATGGGTGCCGATGGGTGCCCAGTGCTCACCACCACCCTGTCCCCACCACCCAGCTCTCACCAGCCAAGCCGGAGCACGCCGGCACCTACGTCTGCACAGCGCACAGCGCCCTGGGCTCGGCGCAGGCACGGGTGGACGTCACCGTGGAGTCAGCGCAGCGGCACCCGGGTGCCCCCGAGGTCTCGGCGCCTGCCACTGTCACCGTGGTGGCCGGGGACACAGCCACACTGCACTGCACAGCCAGAGGTACAGCAGAGGGCGGATGCGGGAGGGTGGCGGTGATGGAAGGGTCGGCGCCCTGACGCCACGGTGACGGGCGCCGGTGTTGCCCCATAGGGGACCCGGAGCCCCGCATCGAGTGGTCGAAGCTGCGGGCGCCGCTGCCGTGGCAGCACCGGGTGGTGAACGGGACGCTGGTGATCCCCCGCGCCGCACAGCAGGACTCAGGGCAGTACATCTGCAACGCTACCAGCGCCGCCGGTGCCACCGAGGCCTTCGTCACCCTCGACGTGGAGAGTAAGGGGGTGCCAGGGGGTCGGGGTGCCCCTGGGTCCTTCTGGCTGTCTCCATTGTCTCCTTTGTCCCCGCTGTTGCCATCACCCATGTGTGGCTCCTCTCTGTCCTTTCTCAGCATGTGGCCATCTCCATCCCATCCCATCCCATAGCCCTTCCTCGTGCATCCATCCTGGCTCCATCCTGCACTCATCCTCCTATTGCATCTCTCTCACCCAGCCTTTCCCATGGATGTGTCCATCTGCTGGTCCCATCCCTGTGAGCACACTGGGTGCTACTGCTCTCTCCTCTTCCATTCATGGATCTGTCCATCACTCATCCATTGCAGCTCACACTCACCTCTCCATCTCCTCTCACACCCTCCATCCACTCCTTCCCAGTGGATTCATTTCTCCCTCATCCATCCCAGCACATCATCCTCTCTCCATCTTCTGACTCCTCCATCTACCTCTGTGGATTCATCTCACACTCATCTCCGACTGCTTTCACATCCCTGCATCCACCCCTTCCTTGTGCATCCATCCACCTCATTCATCCCAGCACACACCCATCTTTCCATCTCCTCTCAAACTCATCCATCCATCTCTTCCTCATGGATTCATCCATCTCTCATCCATCCCAGCATGTGTCCATCTGTCCATTTCTGTCACACCCCTCCATCCATCTCTTCCTCATGGATTCACCCATCATTCAACTATCCCAGCTCACATCCATCTCTCCATCTCCTCTCAAACTACTCGATCCATCATTTCCTTGTGGATTCATCCATCTCTCATCCATCCCAGCACATGGTCATGTCTTTATTGCCTAACTCACCCATTCATCCCTTCCACATGTGCCCATCCCAGCACACACCCATCTCTCCATTTCCTCTCAGACTTCTCCATCCACCCCTTCCTGATGGATTCATCCATCAACCATCAACCATCCCAGCTCACACCCATCTCTTACCACATCCGTGCACCCATCCCTTCTGCACCCATCTCATTCATCCCAGCAGATGCCCTTTTGTCCACCTCCTCTCGAGCTCATCCATCCATCCAACTCTTCCTTGTGGATTCACCCATCACTCAGCCATACCACCTCACATCCATCTCTCCATCTTCTCTCACACTCCTCCATCCATCCCTTTCATAATGGATCTATCCATCTCTTACCCATCCCAGAACATGCCCATCTCTTCATCTCCTCTCAGGGTTCTCCATCCTTTCCATCCTCATGGATGCATCCATCCCTTGTCCATCCCAACACATGCCCATCACCATCTTCACCACCCCCTCTCATTGGCTCCCACCAAAGCCCTCTTTGCCCTATCCCTTACCCCATCCTGGCTATCTTAGGGTGCTCATGGTACTGGGGTGCTCATGGTACCTGGGTACACACAGCACCACGGTGCTCACGGTACCATCCATCCCCGCAGCACCACCATACGCCACCAGCCTGCCGGAGGACACTGCGGTGCGCGCCGGTGACGCGCTGCAGGTGCAGTGCCTGGCCCATGGCACCCCACCGCTGCTCTACACATGGGACAAGCTCAACGGCAGCCTCTCGGCACGCACCAGCCACCGCGCCGGCCTCCTGCGCATCAGCCCCGTGCTGCCCGCCGATGCCGGCACCTACCGCTGCCGCGTCACCAACCGCGTGGGCACCGCCGAGGCCTTCTCCCGCGTGGCCGTCCATGGTGAGCCCCGTCCCCAGCCGCCGGTGCCACCGCCGCGGTGACACCGGTGCCATCAAGGCTTTGCATCCTGCCCAGGTGATGCCGGTGATGGTGGGGATGCCATCGGCGGTCCCTTGGTGGTGCGGGTGACACCGGGGAGCCTCGTCAGGGGCATCGGCGGCACCGCTGAGTTCGCTTGCGCTGTCTCCGGGGACCCCCGGGTGCAGCTGGAGTGGTTGAAGGATGGTGGGGAGCTGCCCCCCAACCACAGCGTGCGGGATGGGGTGCTGAGGTGAGGAGCAGCGATGGAGAGCGGGGTTCCCCCCATGGGGTCCCACCTCCCGGCTCTGTCCCACCCGCTGCCTGTGTCCCATAGGATACAGGAGCTGGCGTGGGGCGCGCAGGGGGTCTACGTGTGCCGGGCCAGCGCCCCGGGTGGGCAGGCAGAGGACAGGGCCACCCTCACCATGCAGGGTAGGAGCAGCTCCCCCAACCTGGCCCCCATGATCCGTCCATCATCCATCCATCCATCCATCCATCCATCCATCCATCCATCCATCATCCATCCATCCATCATCCATCATCCCTCCATCCATCCATCCATCCATCCATCCATCATCCCTCCATCCATCCATCCCCCGGTACCCCCCATCTGTCCCTATGCCCATGGCCACCCCATTACCCCCCATCTCTCCTCACACCCATGAGCATCCTGGTACCCCTCATCTCCCCATGCCCATTAGCATCCTGGTACCTCCTATGTCTTCCCCTTCCCATGGGCACCCCAATCTCCTCCATATCTCCCCACACTCATGGGCACCACAGTACCCCCCAACTCCCCATGGCCATTGGTACCCTGGTATCCCCAGTTTCTTCTTCCTGTTCCCCAATATCCCCCTATATCTTCCTACATCCTGGGCAGTCTGGTACCCCTCATCTCTCCCTACACCCATTGTACTGTTGTAGGTACCATAGGTACCCCATTGTGCCATAGGTACCCCAATAGCCCAAATCTCTCCATATACCACTGATACCCCAAATCTCTCCCTTTGCCCATGGGCACCCCAATACCCTCAATCTCCCCCCATTCCCACAAGCATCCCAGTACTCCCCATCTCTCCCTACACCCATGAGTACCCCAACACCCCCAACCTCTCCCCATGCCGCAGCCAACCCCCATGCTCTCAAGCACCCCACTTCTCCCCATCTCCCATTCACCCGCTTGGCACCCGTGCCCGTGATGCCATGGGGACACCCCAAACCCCCACTGTCCATCATCATTCCCCCCCCCCCCAAGCTCTCCCCAGGGCGCTGATCAACATCCGGACCGCGGTGCAGACGGTGCTGGCAGGGACCTCGGTGGAGCTGGAGTGCCTGGGCTTGGGGGAGCCCCGTCCCCACGTCACCTGGAGCAAAGTGGGGGGCCGCATCCGGCCCGGGGTGCTGGTGCGCGCTGGCACCCTCACCTTCGAGCGTGTGGAGCGGGCGGACGCCGGGCAGTACCGCTGCACCGCCACCAACGCCGTGGGCACCGTCCAGTCCCACGTCATCCTCCACGTGCAAGGTGATGGTGGGGATGTGGGGCTGGGGACACCCAGTGTGGTGTAGGGTCGGGGTGGGGGGTGACAGCTCCGTGTGTCCGCAGCCACCCCGCACATCACCGGGCAGCCGGAGGTGAAGGAGGTCTCGGTGGGAGCCGCGGCCGTTTTGCCCTGTTTGGCATCGGGGTTCCCGGTGCCGGAGATCACCTGGAGCAAGGTGAGAGGAGGGATGCGGGGTGGGGTGTAGGGTGGTGGGGGTGTCCCGTGGGTGCTGACCCAGTGCTGTAGCTGGAGGGGGAGCTGCCGGCCGGTGCCAAGGTGGAGGGGAACGTGCTGACGCTGCCGGCTGTGAGCCATGAGGATGCTGGGGTCTATGCCTGTGCTGCTGCCAATCACCGCGGGCGGGAGACGGCGTATTACGTGCTCAAGGTCCGAGGTGAGGAGGAGGGATGGATGGTGGAGGGGTGGAGGGAGGGATGAGGGGTGGGTGGGTGGATGATGGATGGGGGGATGGATGGATGAATGGATGGATGATGGATGGGGGGATGGATGGATGGATGGATGGATGGATGGATGATGGATGGCTGGAGGGATGGATAGATGATGGATGGATGACGGATGAGTGGATGGATGGATGGATGGATGGATGGGTGATGGGTGGATGGATGATGGATGGATGATGGTTGGATGATGGATGGATGGATGGATGGATGGATGGATGGATGGATGGATGATGGATGGATGATGGAGATGGATGGATGGATGATGGATGGATGGATGATGGATGGATGATGGATGGATGGATGGATGGATGGATGGATGGATGATGGATGGATGAATGATGGATGGATGATGTATGGATGGATGATGAATGGATGGATGATGGATGGATGGATGATGGATGGATGGATGGATGATGGTTGGATGATGGATGGATGGATGATGGATGGATGGATGATGGATGGATGGATGATGGATGGATGATGGATGGATGATGGATGGATGGATGGATGGATGGATGATGGATGGATGATGGATGATGGATGGATGGATGGATGATGGATGGACGGATGGATGGATGGATGATGGATGGATGGATGGATGATGGATTGATGGATGGATGGATGATGGATGGACGGGTGGATGATGGATGGATGGATGATGGATGGATGGATGGATGATGGATGGATGGATGGATGATGGATTGATGGATGGATGGATGATGGATGGACGGGTGGATGATGGATGGATGGATGATGGATGGATGGATGGATGATGGATGGATGGATGGATGGATGATGGATGGATGGATGGATGATGGATTGATGGATGGATGGATGATGGATGGACGGGTGGATGATGGATGGATGGATGATGGATGGATGGACACAGTGGGGGCTGTCCTAACTCACCTCCTAACCCCCATCCCGCAGAGCGCCTGCTCCCCTATTTCGGGCAGACGCCCCGCTCCTTCCTGCCCCTGCCCACCATCAAGGACGCCTACAAGAGGTTCGAGATCCTCATCACCTTCCGGCCGGACGCTGCTGATGGTGAGGCCTGACGGGACCCCTGTGTCACCCCATGTCCCTTCATGTCCCTCCATCTCCCCATCACGTCCTCTTCATACCCCCTCCATGTTCCCTCATGTCCCCCCATGTCCTTTAATGTTGTTTCCTTGTCCCCCCATGTTCCTCTATGTCCCCTCCACCTCTTCCCTCTCCACCCTCCCTCCATCCTCCCCTTTACCTCCTATTCCCTGTCCATCTGAGCCCCTCCACCCCCTATGGGGGGGTTCCTCCTCCACCCTGGGGGTACTTTGGGGTCCCCAGGACATGCCCCAGTGGGGCCCATCCTTCCTGACCCCCTGCCACCCCATAGGGCTCCTCCTTTACAACGGGCAGCGCAAAACCAGCGGCGCCGACTTCATCTCCTTCGGTTTGGTGGGCGGGCGCCCCGAGTTCAGGTGAGACCCACAAGTGGGTGCAATGGGAACGGGAAAGGGGGGGTTGGTGGGGATGGATGGGTGCCAGCACCCACCTACACGTGTTGTGCCCCCCCATAACATAGGTTTGACGCCGGTTCGGGCATGGCGACCATCCGGCACCCAACACAACTGCGCCTGGGCGAGTACCACACCATCCGCCTGCTCCGCAACCTGACTTGGGGTTCACTGGCGCTGGAGGGGCACCCCCCGGTCAATGGCACCTCCCAGGTAGGGCTTTGGGGGCGGCGCTGTGCGCACTGGGTGGGGGTCAGGGTGCTGGAGGTGGCACCCATCCCATTGTGTGCCCTGCAGGGGAGGTTTCAAGGGCTGGACCTGAACGAGGAGCTGTACCTGGGGGGTTACCCCGACTTCAGCGCCGTGGAGAAGACGGGGCTCAGCCGTGGGTTTATGGGTGAGCGATGGGGTTCAGGGGGGCACCGTGTGGGGGCCGAGCATCGCGTGACCCCCCCATCTCCATCCCCGATCAGGCTGCGTGCGGCAGCTCCGCATCCAAGGGGAGGAGGTGGCCTTTGGGGACATGGACCTGCAGGCGCACGGTGTCACCAGCTGCCCCACGTGCCAGGACCAGCCGTGCCAGGTGAGGGGTTCGGGGGTGATGGCAACCCATGGCAAACTATGGTTGCCTACCACTGACACCGGTGTCACCCCCCCCATAGAACGGTGGCGTGTGCCAGGATGCCGAGAGCGGTACCTATGTCTGCCGCTGTCCCCATGGCTTCACCGGCAGCAACTGCGAGTACTCACAGGCATCACATTGTCACCCAGGTAGGGGACACCCCGGCCTGCAGGACATCATCCCCATGATGCCTGTGCTGGGTGGGTGCTCACTGCTCTCTGTCACCCCATAGAGGCGTGTGGGGCTGATGCCACCTGCGTCAACCGGCCCGATGGGACGGGCTATACCTGCCGCTGCCACCTGGGCAAGAGCGGGGAGAGGTGCACCGAGGGTGAGCGCAGGGGGATGTGGGGCTGTCACCACACCAGGGATATGGGAATGGGGTGGGGAGAATGCTGGGGATATGGGAATGGGGTGGGGAGAATGCTGGGGATATGGGGATGGAGTGGGGAGAACGCTGGGGATATGGGGATGGAGTGGGGAGACGTGGGGTATGGGGATGGAGGGGAGAAAGCTGGGATATGGGGATGGGGTGGGGAGAAAGCTGGGGATATGGGGATGGGGTGGGGAGAACGCTGGGGATATGGGGATGGAGTGGGGAACGCTGGGGATATGGGGATGGAGTGGGGAGAAAGGGATATGGGGATGGGTGGGGAGAACGCTGGGGATATGGGGATGGAGTGGGGAGAACGCTGGGGATATGGGGATGGAGTGGAGACGCTGGGGATATAGGGATGGAGTGGGGAGAATGCTGGGGATATGGGGATGGGGTGGGGAGAACGCTGGGGTATGGGGATGGAGTGGGGAGAATGCTGGGGAATGGGGATGAGGTGGGAGAACGCTGGGATATGGGCATGGGGTGGGAGATGCTGGGGATATGGGGATGGGTGGGGAGAACGCTGGGGATATGGGGATGGGGTGGGAGAACGCTGGAGATATGGGGATGGAGTGGGGAGAACGCTGGGGATATGGGGATGGGGTGGGGAGAACGCTGGGGATGGGGATGGGTGGGGAGAACGCTGGGGATATAGGGATGGAGTGGGGAGAACGCTGGGGATATGGGGATGGGGTGGGAGAACCTGGGGATATGGGGATGGAGTGGGGAGAACGCTGGGATATGGGGATGGAGTGGGGAGAATGCTGGGGATATGGGGATGGGGTGGGGAGAACGCTGGGGATATGGGGATGGAGTGGGGAGAACGCTGGGGATATGGGGATGGGGTGGGGAGAACGCTGGGGATATGGGGATGGAGTGGGGAGAACGCTGGGGATATGGGGATGGAGTGGGGAGAACGCTGGAGATATGGGGATGGGGTGGGGAGAACGCTGGGGATATGGGGATGGAGTGGGGAGAACGCTGGGGAAATGGGGATGGAGTGGGGAGAACACTGGGGATATGGGGATGGGGTGGGGAGAACCCTGGGGATATGGGATGGGGTGGGGAGAACGCTGGGGTTATGGGGATGGGGTGGGAACTAACCATGAGAGATGGGCATGGGATGGGAAACACTCCAGGGAGATGGGAACATGGCTGGGGAGCACCCTGGGGACATGGTTATGGGATGGGAACCACCCTGGGGACATGGGGATGTGACTGGGAAGCACCACAGGGATATGGGCATGGGATGGGGACTGCCCCAGTGACATGGTGATGGAGTGGGGATCACTCTGGGGACATGGGCATGGGACGGAGGGTGCCCCAGCAAGATGAGGAGCACCCAAGGGAGGTGGGGATATGGGGACCACCCTGAGACATGGACATGGGGCTGGCATCACCCTGGGGATGCAGGCACGGTGCGGGAGGGGGAATAGGTTATGGGCTTCATGGATGTGATGGAGATGGGAGTGATGGGTGCGGGTCTGGGTACCAGCCTGGGGAGATGGGGCCAGGATGGGGACCACACTGGGGACACCACACTGGGGACACCGTGGATGGGGCCGGGGTCCCATACACCGGGTGCTGACGGCGGTGCCGCAGGGGAGGCGGTGACGGTGCCGTCGTTCGGCGAGGCCGGAGCCTTCGTGTCCTACCCGGCCCTCACCAACGTGCACCACGAGCTGCGGGTGGAGGCCGAGTTCCTGCCGCTGGCTCCCGATGGGCTCCTGCTCTTCAGCGCCGGCAAAGCCGCCCCGGTCGAGGACTTCGTGGCTTTGTTCATGGCCGGCGGCCACCTCGAGTTCCGCTACGAGCTGGGCTCAGGTGGGATGGGGCAGGCACGGGGGTGCCGGTGGCACCAGGTAGAGGTGGGGGTGCCGGGGTCCAACTGCATCATTGGGGTCACCAGAGTCCTCCTTTGGCCTCTTGGGGTCCCTTGGGTTCATTGAGGTCCCAGTGCTGGACATCAGTGGGGTCCCCTGGTGTCACTGGGGCTCCCTTGCCCTCCACTGGGGTCCCCACGTGCTGCCAAGTTCCATGGCCATCACCAGTATCCCATTGTACCAGTGTGGTCCCCATATGTCACCAGGGTGCCCTGATGTCATTGAGGTCCCCTGGCACCACTTTGGTCCTTAGGCACTGCCAGTGTCCCTGAGCATCACTGTCACATCACTGGGGTACCATGGCATCACTTTGGTCCCCAAATGGTGCCATTGTCCTCAAGCATCACTGTCACATCACTGGGGTACCCTGGCATCACTTTGGTCCCCAAATGGTGCCATTGTCCCTGAGCATCACTGTCACATCACTGGGGTACCATGGCATCACTTTGGTCCCCAAATGGTGCCATTGTCCTCAAGCATCACTGTCACATCACTGGGGTACCCTGACATCACTTTGGTCCCCAAATGGTGCCAGTGTCCCCAGGCATCACTGTGGCACTACTGGGGTCCCCTGGCATCACTTTGGTCCCCAGATGCTGCCAGTGTTCCTAAGCATCACTGTCACATCACTGGTGTTCCCTGGCATCACTTTGGTCCCCAAATGGTGCCAGTGACCCTGAGCATCACTGTCATACTACTGGGGTCCCCTGGCATCACTTTGGTCCCCAGGCACTGCCAGTGTCCCTGAGCATCACTGTCACATTGCTGGGGTCCCCTGACATCACTTTGGTCCCCAAATGGTGCCAGTGTTCCTAAGCATCACTAACACATCACTGGGGTACCCTGGCATCGCTTTGGTCCCCAAATGGTGCCATTGTCCTCAAGCATCACTGTCACATCACTGGGGTCCCCTGGCATCACTTTGGTCCCCAAATGGTGCCATTGTCCTCAAGCATCACTGTCACATCACTGGGGTCCCCTGGCATCACTTTGGTCCCCAAATGGTGCCATTGTCCTCAAGCATCACTGTCACATCACTGGGGTCCCCTGGCATCACTTTGGTCCCCAAATGGTGCCATTGTCCTCAAGCATCACTGTCACATCACTGGGGTCCCCTGGCATCACTTTGGTCCCCAAATGGTGCCATTGTCCTCAAGCATCACTGTCACATCACTGGGGTCCCCTGGCATCACTTTGGTCCCCAAATGGTGCCATTGTCCTCAAGCATCACTGTCACATCACTGGGGTCCCCTGGCATCACTTTGGTCCCCAAATGGTGCCATTGTCCTCAAGCATCACTGTCACATCACTGGGGTCCCCTGGCACCACTTTGGTCCCCATCCACCCCTGTTGTCCCGTGCCCCCCCACTGACACCCCCACCCCATCCCCACAGGCACGGCGGTCCTGCGGAGCGCGGAGCCGCTGGCACTGGGGCAGTGGCACTGGGTGATGGCCGAGCGGGTGCACAAGGACGGGACGCTGGTGGTGGATGAGGCCGCGCCGGTGAAACGCTCCTCGCCCGGCAAGAGCCTGGGGCTGAACCTTCGCTCCCCGCTTTACCTGGGGGGCACCGAGCCCCCCCTGCGCCCCCCAACCAACGCCTCCTTCCAGGGCTGCATCGGAGAGGTGGGAGCCGGAGCCCAGCCCCATTGCGCACCCTCGGGGGGCACAGGATGGGGCTCCCCTCTGCTCACCATCACCCCCCTCCCGCAGGTGTCCATCAATGGGAAGCGGCTGGAGCTGCCCTACGGGTTCCTGCGCAGCCGCGGCGTGGGGCAGTGCCGGGGCCGCTCGCCCTGCACCGGGGCTGTTTGCGTGCACGGGGGCCGCTGCCTGCGCCCCGTAGAGCCCGGGGCTGCCCCGCGCTGCCGCTGCCCGGCCGGCTTCAGCGGTGAGAGAGTGTGCGGGGTGGGGGTGGGAGTGGGTGGAGGAGGGCATGGATGGAAGGGCATGGATGGATGGGTATGGATGGAGGTGTGGGCACCGATGGATGGGCATGGATGTGTGTGCATGGATGGAGGTGTGTGCATGGATGGATGGGCATGGATGGAGGTGTGGGCATGGATGGATGTGGGCATGGATGGAGGTGTGCATGGATGTGTGCATGGATGGAGGTATGGGGATGGATGTGTGCATGGATGGAGGTGTGCATGGATGTGTGCGTGGATGGATGTGTGCATGGATGGATAGGCATGGATGGAGGTGTGGGCATCGATGGATGTGTGCATGGGTGGAAGTGTGGGCATAGGTGTGGGCATGGATGGAGGTGTGGGCATGGATGTGTGCATGGATAGATGTGTGCATGGATATGTGTGCATGGATGGAGGTGTGGGCATGGATGTGGGCATGGATAGATGTGTGCATGGATATGTGTGCATGGATGGAGGTGTGGGCATGGATGTGGGCATGGATAGATGTGTGCATGGATATGTGTGCATGGATGGAGGTGTGGGCATGGATGTGGGCATGGATAGATGTGTGCATGGATATGTGTGCATGGATGGAGGTGTGGGCATGGATGTGTGCATGGATGGATACGTGCATGGATGGAGGTGTGGGCATGGATGTGTGTACATGGATGGATATGTGCATGGATGGAGGTGAGGGCATGGATGTGGGCATGGATGTGTGTGCATGGATGTATGTGCATGGATGTGTGCACAGATGTGTACATGGATGTGTGCATGGATGGATATGTGCGTGGATGGATGGATGTGTGCGCAGATGTGTACATGGATGGAGGTCTGTGTGCACGGATGTGTGCATGGATGTGTGCATGGATGTGTACATGGATGCTGATGATGGTAAGGTCTTTTCCAACCCTAACTATTCTATAATTCTATATGTGCATGGAGGTGTGCATGGATGGATGTGTACATGGATGTGTGCATGGATGGAGGTGTGCATGGATGTGTGCACACGTGCTGTGTGTGTAAGCACGTGCACTATGCACATGTGTGTTGCACATGGTGGCTGCTGTGCATCCGTGTGCACACATGTGCCGTGCATCCATGCGCAGTGTGCATGTGTGTGTGCTGCGTATGGCAAGTGCTGTGTGCACACGTACATGCATGTTGTGCATGCATGTGCACTGTGTGTGCATGTGCACAGTATCTACATGTGTGCTGTGCATCCATGTGCAGTGTGCACGTGTGTGTGCTGCGTATGGCAAGTGCTGTGCGTGCACGTGTACATGTGTCCTGTGCATGCATGCACACTGCGTGTGCTGTGCATGTGTGCTGTGTGTGCATGTATGTGTGCTGCAGACACGTGCATGGGTGTAGTCTGCAAGGGGGTGCATCCGCTGCACGTGTGTGTGCAGTATGCAGTGTACATATGCATACATGCGCAGTGCACGCGTGCGTGGGTTGGTGCGTATGCATGGGTGCAGTTGGCACTGTGCACGTGTGCCACCCTCATGGGGTGATGCCGTGGGTGTCCCCAGGGCCGCGCTGCGAGCAGGAGGAGGAAGGGTGCCCACGCCAGCCCTGCCTGCATGGTGGCACCTGCACCGGCAGCGCCTGCCTCTGCCCACCCGGCTACAGCGGCCCCCTCTGCCAGCACCGTGAGTGGGGACGGGGGGACATGGGGGGACCCCTGGGGACATGGGGGATGTGGGCACCCCATCCCCATCCCCATCCCCATCCTTCACCCGCAGGTCTGGCCCTGGAGCTGGAGCAGGACTGGCAGGAGGGCAGCGGGGGCAGTGGTAGGTCCAGCACCCGTTTACCCCCTTCTGGTACCCAAAAGGACCCCCTGTGACACCCCCTTATCCCCCCTACAGATGCCCCAGGACAGTTCAGTGTCAGTCTCCAGGATGGCTCCTACCTGGCCCTGCCCGGCCACCTCCTGCCCCGAGGGTGAGTGGCAAGGATGGGGCATCCTGGTGGGTGCTGCACCCACAGCCTGGCCATGGCACCCACTGGGTCCTGTGGCTTCACACAGCACTGCACCCATTGCACACTGTAACACCCCTGGGTGCTGCACCCATTGCACACTGTAACCCCTCTGGGTGCTGCACCCATTGCACACTGTAACCCCTCTGGGTGCTGCACCCATTGCACACTGTAACACCCCTGGGTGCTGCACCCATTGCACACTGTAACACACCCCTGGGTGCTGCACCCATTGCACACTGTAACACCCCTGGGTGCTGCACCCATTGCACACTGTAACACCCCTGGGTGCTGCACTCACTGCACACTGTAACACCCCTGGTGCTGCACCCATGCACACTGTAACCCTGGGGCTGCACATGCACACTGTAACCCCGGTGCTGCACCCATTGCACACTGTAACACCCCTGGGTGCTGCACCCACTGCACACTGTAACACCCCTGGGTGCTGCACCCATTGCACACTGTAACACCCCTGGGTGCTGCACCCACTGCACACTGTAACACCCCTGGGTGCTGCACCCATTGCACACTGTAACACCCCTGGGTGCTGCACCCATTGCACACTGTAACACTCCTGGGTGCTGCACCCACTGCACACTGTAACACCCCTGGGTGCTGCACCCATTGCACACTGTAACACCCCTGGGTGCTGCACCCATTGCACACTGTAACACCCCTGGGTGCTGCACCCATTGCACACTGTAACACCCCTGGGTGCTGCACCCATTGCACACTGTAACACCCCTGGGTGCTGCACCCATTGCACACTGTAACACCCCTGGGTGCTGCACCCATTGCACACTGTAACACCCCTGGGTGCTGCACCCATTGCACACTGTAACACCCCTGGGTGCTGCACCCATTGCACACTGTAACACCCCTGGGTGCTGCACCCATTGCACACTGTAACACCCCTGGGTGCTGCACCCATTGCACACTGTAACACCCCTGGGTGCTGCACCCATTGCACACTGTAACACTCCTGCTGCACATCCACTGTAACACCCCTGGGTGCTGCACCCATTGCACACTGTAACACCCTGGGGCTGCACCCATCACACTGTAACACCCCTGGTGCTGCACCCATTGCACACTGTACCCCCTGTGCTCACCATTGCAAAACCCCCTGGTGCTCACCCATTGCACGCTGTAACCCCCCTGGTGCTGCACCCATTGCACACTGTAACACCCCTTGGTGCTGCACCCATTGCACACTGTAACACCCCTGGGTGCTGCACCCATTGCACACTGTAACACCCCTGGGTGCTGCACCCATTGCACGCTGTAACACCCCTGGGTGCTGCACCCACTGCACACTGTACCCCCCCTTGGTCCTGCACCCATTGCACACTGTAACACCCCTGGGTGCTGCACCCACTGCACACTGTAACCCCCCTGGGTGCTGCACCCATTGCACACTGTAACCCCCCTGGGTGCTGCACCCATTGCACACTGTACCCCCCCTTGGTCCTGCACCCATTGCACACTGTAACCCCCCTGGGTGCTGCACCCATTGCACACTGTAACCCCCCCTTGGTCCTGCACCCATTGCACGCTGTAACACCCCTGGGTGCTGCACCCATTGCACACTGAAACCCCCCATGGTCCTGCACCCATTGCACACTGTAACCCCTGGGTGCTGCACCCATTGCACACTGTAACCCCCCTTGGTCCTGCACCCATTGCACGCTGTAACACCCCCGGGTGCTGCACCCATTGCACATTGTAACCCCCCATGGTCCTGCACCCATTGCACACTGTAACCCCCCTGGGTGCTGCACCCATTGCACATTGTAACCCCCCATGGTCCTGCACCCATTGCACGCTGTAACCCCCCCGGGTGCTGCACCCATTGCACACTGTAACCCTCCATGGTCCTGCACCCATTGCACACTGTAACCCCCCTGGGTGCTGCACCCATTGCACACTGTAACCCCCCTGGGCCCCACCCATTGCACGCTGTAACCCCCCCTTGCTGCACCCATTGCACACTGTAACCCCCCATGGTCCTGCACCCATTGCACACTGTAACCCCCCTGGGTGCTGCACCCATTGCACACTGTAACCCCCCTGGGTCCTGCACCCATTGCACGCCTAAAAACCCCCCGGGTGCTGCACCCATTGCACACTGTCCCTCCATGGCCTGCACCCATCCATGCTGTATCCCCCTGGGTGCTGCACCCATTGCACACTGTAACCCCCCTGGGTGCTGCACCCATTGCACACTGTAACACCCCTGGGTGCTGCACCCATTGCACACTGTACCCCCCCTTGGTCCTGCACCCATCAACCCATCCCCTGTCCCCACAGCCCCCCCGAGGCACCCGAGACCATGGAGCTGGAGCTGCGGACGGGCAGCGCCGAGGGGCTGGTGCTGTGGCACGGGGCGGTGAGTGGTGCTGGGGGCCCCAGGGTGCTGAGCCCCATGGGTCAGGGTGCCCCCACCGCGCTCACTGCCCCCCTGCACCCACAGGAGCCCAGCGAGGGTGGCAAAGCCAAAGACTTCATTGGCCTGGGTTTGAAGGACGGGCACCTGGTGTTCAGGTGAGGGGGAGCCGGTGTCACCCTGGGGTGCTCTGTGACACCCATGGGTGCCCCTGTGCTGAGCCCATGTCACCCTGCAGCTACCAGCTGGGCAGCGGTGAGGGCACCATCATCTCCGAAGACCCCATCAATGATGGCGAGTGGCACCGGGTGACGGTGACAAGGTGGGTAAAGGGTGCTGATGGGTGCTGATGGGTGCTGGTGCTGGTGGGTGCTGATGGGTGCCAGTGCTGGTGGTGCTGGTGCTGGTGGGTGCTGATGGGTGCCAGTGCTGATGGGTGCCAGTGCTGGTGGTGCTGGTGCTGGTGGGTGCTGATGGGTGCCAGTGCTGATGGGTGCCAGTGCTGGTGGTGCTGGCGCTGATGGGTGCTGGTGCTGATGAGCGCTGGTGCTGGTGGGTGCTGACTGGTGCCAGTGCTGCTGGGTGCCAGTGCTGGTGGTGCTGGTGCTGATGGGTGCCGGTGTTGATGGGTACCAGTGCTGATGGGTGCCAGTGCTGATGGGTGCCAGTGCTGATGGGTGCCGGTGCAGGTGCTGATGGGTGCTGGTGTTGGTGGGTGCTGATGGGTGCCAGTGCTGATGGGTGCCAGTGCTGGTGGTGCTGGTGCTGATGGGTGCCAGTGCTGATAGGTGCCAGTGCTGATGGGTGCCAGTGTTGATGGGTGCCAGTGCTGATGGGTGCCAGTGCTGGTGCTGATGGGTGCTGGTGCTGATGGTTGCTGGTGTTGGTGGGTGCTGATGGGTGCCAGTGCTGGTGGTGCTGGTGCTGATGGGTGCCAGTGCTGATGGGTGCCAGCGCTGGTGCTGATGGGTGCTGATGGGTGCCAGTGCTGATGGGTGCCAGTGCTGGTGGTGCTGGTGCTGGTGGGTGCCAGTGCTGATGGGTGCCAGTGCTGATGGGTGCCAGTGCTGGTGGTGCTGGTGCTGATGGGTGCCAGTGCTGATGGGTGCCAGTGCTGATGGGTGCCAGTGCTGATGGGTGCCAGCGCTGGTGCTGATGGGTGCTGATGGGTGCCAGTGCTGATGGGTGCCAGTGCTGGTGCTGATGGGTGCTGATGGGTGCCAGTGCTGATGGGTGCCAGCGCTGGTGGTGCTGGCACTGATGGGTGCTGCTGGTGCCGTGCAGGGAGGGCCGTCGCGGGCAGCTGCAGGTGGATGGGGAGGAGCCGGTGAGTGGGGAGTCCCCAGGAACCAACATCATGGCCAACACCGAGGGCAGCATCTACGTGGGTACGGTGGCACCGGGGGACAGAGGGGACACGGGGGGGGGGACATGGTCAGGGGAGGGACATGGGGGTCACACAGGATGGGACATGGGTGGTTCCTGGGCTGGACACTGCATGGGACATGGGATGGGGACACAGGAAGGAGGCACACAATGGGACACGGGAGGGGACATGGGATGGACTGGGGTGGGGATGATGTGATGGGACGGGGGGGGCATGGAACGGGACAAGACACTTGATAGGACATGGGAGGGACATGGAATGGGACATGGGTGGGCACGCATGATGGAAGATGGGATGACCACGGGATGGGAGATGGGGTGGGGGACAGCTGATGGGACATGGGATGGCCTTGTGGTTGGACACAGGATGAGTCACATGGTGGGACATGGGATGGCCATGGGATGGGACATGGGACAGGACACCTGATGGGACATGGGATAGGACACATTGTGGCACATGGAATGGATATGGGATGGGACATGGGGTGGGGGCACATGATGGGACAGGGCAGGGATGGCCATGGGAGGGGACATGGTGTGGGATGAGGCATGGGACATCTGGTAGGACATAGGCTGGAACATGGGACCAAATACCTGGTGCAACATGGGGTGGCCATGGGATGGGCCATGGGGTGTACATGGGGTGGGACATGGGGTGCACATGGGATGGGCCATGGGGTGGCCATGGGATGGGCCATGGGGTGCACATGGGATGGGACATGGGGTGTACATGGGATGGGACATGGGGTGCACATGGGATGGGATATGGACGGGACATGACGTAGACAAGGGATGGGATATGGGGTGGCCATGGGATGGGCCATGGGGTGCACATGGGGTGGGCCATGGGGTGGCCATGGGATGGGACATGGAGTGCACATGGGGTGGGCCATGGGGTGGCCGTGAGATGGGATATGGGGTGCACATGGGGTAGGACATGGGGTGGCCATGGGATGGGCCATGGGGTGTACATGGGGTGGGCCATGGGGTGCACATGGGATGGGACATGGGGTGGCCATGGGATGGGCCATGGGGTGCACATGGGATGGGCCATGGGGTGCACATGGGGTGGGCCATGGGGTGCGCATGGGATGGGCCATGGGGTGGCCATGGGATGGGATATGGGGTGCACAGAGGGTGGACATCTGATGGGCCATGGGATGGGAGGTGCGATGCCCACGTCCAGGTGAGACTGGCTATGGGGTGAGCCCATGGGGTGCCCCACACCCCTGTGTCCCCCATGTCCCCATGCCCCCCATATCCCACAGGTGGTGCCCCGGACCCCCAGAGCCTGACGGCCGGCAAGTACCGCTCCGGCATCACCGGGTGCCTGCGGGGCCTGGTGCTGGCACCCGCCGGTGCCCCCCGACACCCCATCGACCTGCGGCACGGCGCAGTGGGGGGCTCCCCCTCCCCCCCCTGCCCGCACTAACACCCCCCCCAGCTGTATTTTGGGGGGAATTTGGCCAATTTTACTCTTTTTTCCAAAAACAAGACAGGAGGAAACGGTGCTTCGCTGCCCCGGGGTGACCCCGGGGGGGGGGGGCCGGGACCCCCATAAATGTTTACACCCCCCCCCACCACCACTACACCAGCCCCCCAAACCTGTGCCGGGGCGGCCGGGCCGCCCGGGGCCCCCCGGGATGGAGGCGGGGTGGGGATGCGAGGGACAATCGGGTGCTGGCGGGGCCCCCAGGGGCAGCATTAAAGGAGAGAGAACCAACCCGTGTGTGTTGGGGTGCGCCGCGGGGGTATGGGGGGTGTAGGGGAGTGGTATGGGAGGGTTTTGGTATTGGGGTGCAGGGGTATGCTGATGGGGAGGTGTGGGGGTATTGGGGTGAAGGGGGGGTATGGTATGGGGGATGTGAGGGTTTGGGGGTACAGGGGATATGGTGTGGGGTGTGGGAGGGATATGGCATGGGGGGTATAGGGGTGCTGCGGTGTGGGGGTGATAGAGGGGATCGGGGGTATGGTATGGGTGAGGGTCTGGGGGGCTTTGGGGTATATTGGAGCGCACAGCATAGGGGGTATGGTTTGGGGTACAGGGGCTGTGGTATGGGGGGGGTAGGGGGGGTTATGGTGTGGGGAGGGTCTGGGCGGCACAGGATGGACAAGGGGGGGGGGGTCAGGACCCAGTCACTGCGCGCACACGGGACCGCGCTCCGCTCCCGTTCGCGTTCCCGTCCCCGGGGGAGCCGCTTGCGTCCGCAGCTCAAGCCCCGCCCCACTCCAAGACAGACTCCGCCCCCGTCGACTAAGCCCCGCCCCATCCCTCAAGCCCCGCCCCCTTTTAGCCCTCACCCTTCTGCCGCTCAGGCCCCGCCCTTCTCCCCTCGCTGCGCGTCGCGCTCGGCGCCGCGCATGAGCGTCAGCGCGTCGCGCGTGTGGCGTCACCAGCCCTGACGGCGGCTGCGGCGGCGGCAGCCGCGGGAGGGGCCGTTGTGGCCGGTATAGCCGGGGCCGTTCTCGGTCTTTCCGGTCGGTGTCGGCGATGGCGCCGCGGCTTCAGCTGGAGAAGGCCGCGTGGCGCTGGACAGAGACGGTGCCGCCCGAGGCCGTGGCGCAGGAGCACATCGAAGCGGCCTACCGCGTCGGGCTGGAGCCCTGCCAGCGCGGCGCCTGCCGGTACCACGGGCACCCCCCCGCGCCGCTGCCCCCCGCCCGCCGCCCGTTATAGAGGGACCCAAACCCCCCTCCCATCCCCTTCCCCAGCGCCGTTCACCTCTCTGGGCCTGGGGAGACCCCGCGTTCCTTCACCCCCCCCACCCCACGTACGGCTACGGAGGCCCTGAGGCGATTCCCGGTCCATGAGGGTGGATGGAGAGCTGCCGTTCGCTGCTTTGGGACCCCAATTCCCCGGGCTTGTGAGGGCCCCTCTGCTTGCCTGGCTGCCCAGATGTAGAGGTCCTCCCTGGGGTTAAGGGGGACCCCTCATATTAAGTGGGACCTCAGATACAGGGACTCCGCCGCAGGGTTGGGGGGGACCCCTTTTGTTAACTGGCAACTCAGGTATTGGGGACCCTCCCGAGGTTGTGGGGACCTCTCTCATTAAGGAGCTCCTCATGTATAAGGGAACCCTCTTGATAAATGGCTCCCCAGATACAGGAGATCCCCCTGAGTTTGTGGGGGCCCCTTCATATAAACTGGGTTCTCAGATACAGGGATTCTTCCTCATGGTTGTGGGGGACCCCTCTTGTTAACAGGCTCCCTAGATATAGGGCATCCCCCTGAGGTTGTGGGGGACTCCTCTTGTTGGGGTCCCCCTTTCCCCTCCCGTTTTTAGTCTCCATCTCCGCATTCACCCATAACCATTGTTTTGGGGGGTGTAGCGGACCCATATCCCTCCCCACTCGCTCTGTTTAGCACTGTGGCCCCCCCCTTTTGCTGTCCTCACCCCAAAGGGATGCTGAGGGTGACAGTGGGACTGGTTCCACAGGAGGAACTGCCGGGGGAACCCCAACTGCCTGGTGGGCATCGGGGAGCACGTGTGGCTGGGCGAGATCGATGAGAACAGCTTCCACAACATCGACGACCCCAACTGCGAGCGCCGCAAGAAGGTACCCCCCCAACCGGCCCAAAAGATGGGAAGGAAGAGGGGAGGTGACACCTCGGGTGCCCCTGTAGCCAGAGGGAGTTTGGGAATGTGGCTTTACAGTGCCAGAGGCAGGGTTTTCCCAACAAACAGCCTCAGTGCTGGGTATGTCCTCAGCGTAAGAAGGCCACGGAGCTGTTGGAGCAAGGCCAGAGAGGTCATGGGGATGAGCAGGGGCTGGAGCAGCTCCTGTATGGAGCCAGGCTGAGAACACTGGGGCTGTTCAGCCTGGAGAAGAGAAGCTGCGTGGAGACCTCAGAGCAGCTTCCAGTGTCTGAAGGGGGTTGCAAGGATGCTGGAGAGGGGCTCTTCATCAGGGGCTGTAGGGATAGGACAAGGGGTGATGGGTTCAGACTGAAACAGGGGAAGTTCAGGTTGGAGATAAGAAGTTCTGTACTGTGAGGGTGCTGAGGTGCTGGCACAGGGTGCCCAGAGAAGTGGTCAATGCCCCATCCCTGGCAGTGCTCAAGGCCAGGTTGGACAGAGCCTTGGGTGACAGGGTCTTAGTAGCAAGGGGTTGGAGCTGGATGATCTTGAGGTCCTTTCCAACCCAAACCATTGTGTGATTCTGTGATTGCTGCTTGCTCTCCTCTCCCGCACCGGTACCAACCTCTCTCCTGTCCTGCACCAGAACGCGTTCGTGGGCTTAACGAACCTGGGGGCCACGTGCTACGTCAACACCTTCCTGCAGATGTGGTTCCTCAACCTGGAGCTCCGGCAAGCCCTCTACTTGTGTCCCAGCACCTCCATGGCTGGAGAGGGCATCCCAAAGGACAAAGGTGAGTGGCAGCTCCTCTGCCATGCGTGGGTTTGCACGTTTGCCCCCAAATTCTACTCATTTGCTCCTAAACTTCGCTCTGGGATCATGGTTTTTTGGGGTATCCATTGGTGAAGCAGCAGCCGCTCATCCCATCTCCGCACTGTTGGGTTTGGGTCCGTTACCCGGCTTTTGGGAATGACCCAAACTTTATCCGTGTTATTTCTTCACCCAGGGGGGATCTGATCTGGTTGGAAAACCTGGTTTGGGTTTGTTTCTTGCTGGGCTGCTTCCCAAAGCATTTCCCAACTTAGTGATGGTGCTGGGGCTGGAAGCAGTTGGATGGGGCCAATCTGTTCTATCATGGAGCCTCATTCATCCCATAGGAGGGCAAGAATTCAGGATCCCAGTACAACTGAGGTTCCCAGTTTCCTCCAGCGTGGACACCATGGCCTCTGGTGCCATCCTTTGTGTCTGGCACAGAGCTGTAGGTGCCCTCTGGATCCCATTCCTTCCGTTCCTCTTTTTATGGTGTTTTAAAGCAATGTCTCACCATTTGGGGTTAACAGGAAGCTGTTGCTATAGGGTAATCAGCACACACTGCTTGAACTCTTTACATACAGCTCACGTGAGGCACTGTGGGATGGTTACAGTTGGACTCAATGGTCTTAAGGGTCTTTTCCAACGTGGGAAATGATTTTCCAACTGTAAATTATCTCATGTTTCTATGATATTTGGCTTGTGCTGTCAGCAGTGGCATGAACAGCTTCAGTTCTTACGGTATCAGGGACTGTAGTGATAGGACAAGAGGTGATGGGTTTAAACTTAAACAGAAAAGTTCAGGTTGGAGATAAGGCAGAAGCTCTTCCCTGTGAGGGTGCTGAGGCGCTGGCACAGGGTGCCCAGAGAAGTGGTCAATGCCCCATCCCTGGCAGTGCTCAAGGCCAGGTTGGACAGAGGGGCTTGGAGCAAGCTGCTCCAGTGGAAGGGGTCCCTGTCCTTCCCAACCCAAACCATCCTGTGATTTTAAAATGGCTTTGAGAAACCCATTTCATGTCTAATGACTAAGTTCACCTTTACAAAGAAAGGCCAGGCACTGGGCACAGCTACCTCCAGCCTTAAACTTCTGTCTGTAACTTGTGCAACGTGCTGTTTTAATAGACTATGAGCCTCAGAGCATTTGTGAGCACCTGCAGTACCTGTTTGCCCTGCTGCAGAACAGCAAGCGGCGATACATCGATCCCTCTGGATTTGTCAAGGCGCTGGGCTTGGACACGGGGCAGCAGCAGGTAGGTTTGAGTAACCACCTCCTTCAGAGCAATGTGGAACTGCCCTTTGGTGTGAGTTTAGTGTCTCTGAGCTGGGGTTTGCTGTTTGCTGTGAGCACAGAGTGCTGCTGCAGGCTCTTCCTGTCAGTGTTGGGGCTTAGGGGATCAGAAGGAGCCCAGAGAGCAGTGGGATGGGGAGCAATGTGATGGGGACAGGGAGTTTTGTTAGCACCTGATGGGCTCTGGCACTGTGTGGACTGGGAGTTGGAGCTGCCATGAGGGTCCTTTGGTAGGGGCCTTATGGGCTGCTCCTCCCCAGTGGGTAGTTCAGGGGGGTTGAAGGGCCCTCACAGCGTGAGATGTTTATGGGATCACCAGGAGCCAGCCAAGGGGCACTGTGGGGGCAGAGAGGGGTTAGAAAGGGACAAATGCTGCAGGTGGGGCCCATGGGGCTGTCGCTGAAGCTGGAGGGACGTACACTTGGAGCAGTTCAGATGGAGACTGGGGCAGGAAGAGCCCCAGCTCCATGTGTGTTTCCTTGGGAGGATGCAGGAGGGGAAGGAAGCAGTCATCACTGAGCAGGGGTAGGGAAGGACAGCCAGGAGAGGCCAAAACCTCTTGTTCTTGGAAGAGGAAAGCGAAGGAGATCCAGGGTGGGAGGGGAAGGCCCTGGGCTTTGCAGGGGGGGGATTGAATCCACGAGGCAGCTTCTCACTTTTGGGGTGTTCTGTTTGACTTTCAGACCCCCACACACAAGCAGGGACAGCTTTGAGACCAGGGTGGGGAAAGCTCTGCAGGAGGTTCCTTTCCCCTTCCAAAGCCTTGTAAGGAGCTAGGGCAGGAGTCAGACTGCCTGGCCAGGAGCCAGGTTACCTCCTGCTGGGGGCCTCACGCTCCTTTGAGGCAAATTCCTCTTTTCCTTTAGCTCTCCTGACATGGTCTCTTTATCCATGCAGCCCACGCCGCAGCCCCTGTGTAGGGCTCTGGGTAATTTGTAGTAAATGAACAACAGGGTTGTGCTTGGGCTTTGTGCTCTGATGGCTTGTGAAGGGACTTGGGGGTTCTTTTCCAGGATGCCCAGGAGTTTTCCAAGCTGTTCATGTCGC